AAGATGCTATAAACCCACACACCAGCCCCATCTCCATGCATGAGAAGGGACCACATGGAGTTGGACCCTGAGACTGCAGGTGCCTTTCCCCCAGCACAGAGAGCACATCCATGCTCGTGTTTCCCTTGGGAAGGCCGAGGGACACCAGCCACAGCGAGCAGAGGCTGGGAACCACCCCCAGCACAGGACACCTCCAGTAGATACTTGCTCACAGGCAGGCTCCTCGCCTGATAACGCAATCAGGAGGGCTGCAGCTCAGCTCCCCCAGCGCTGCTTTTGACACCAAAGCCCTGCAAGGAGCAAGATAAACTGCATCACTCCTTGTTGGGAGAGGCTTCCCCAGCCCTGAGCCCTCCCAAGGGGCACGGTAAGGGAATGCTGTGATTCCCCTGCACATCCCATGGCATGGGATGTGTGCCCACAGCCACAGCTAGACTGGGTGACCTCCTCTTTAAGGCACTTATTAGGGAACCAGCTCGCTGCCCTTGGTGATGGGGTAGAACAGAGCTCATTTATCTCACAGGCAGGGTCTATGGGTGCCCCAGAGCACAGCTTGAGGGGACAGACAGAGTAGAAGGGCTGGGGATGCAGTATGGAGACACTGACACTTTGAAACGCTCACCATTAACAACCATGAGGCCACTTCAAAACAAGGCAGGGGGCTGGAACTGGATGAGCCTTAAGGTCCCTTCCAACCCAAACCAGTCTGGGATTGTGCTTTTCACTGCAGCATCCTTTCCACATGGCATCATCTGCTACAGGAGAGCAGCAGCTCAGGAGATGCTGAAGCGCGCATCCCCAAGTGTCCCCCTCAATCCCTGCGAGCAGGCAGAGCTCTTTGGGGACCATTACTGACACAAGCAGCAGCAGGAGCTATTTGCAGCAAGCACTGCATATACAGGAAGCACACAGTTCCTGGTTTCCAGCTTGGTTTAATGTGAAGAATTTCCTCCTTCCCTTCAGACCCATGCAGGAAGCCTGCAAACAGACCGGCCCCGGCATCTGATTAGACCCCATCCTATGCACACTTCCTGGACCATGCAATTGGGCTGCAGGAGCTGCTTTCCATCCCTCCCCATCACTCACGTCATGAGGCAGCAAGTGCAGCTCTGCCCAAGCCACTGCTTTAGGTCAAGGCAGGGAAAAGCCATAGAATAAACCCATAACTACTGCAGGAGAAGGATTGATGCTTGAAGATGCGAAGCCTTTGGAGTGCTTCTCCTTAACACACACCCCAGAGGCTATGGGCCTGGTTTTAGCTTGGAAATAGCTGTTAGCTTTATTCATCATTTTGGGATGGAAACCCAAACACTAGCATTTGGAAAGCAAGTTTTTAGTTAGATGCCCTGATTCCCAAATGGCTCACTACAGTGCAATGGTGGGAGGGCAAACACCACAAGGATGCTATGGGGATAGGTAATGAAAGATGGTAGGTGCTAAAACAGTGATCCAGTTGGGAAAGGAAAGTCCCTGGCTCTGGGTTCTCCACTCATAGGACCCTTTGAAGAGGGACCTGGTTTGCTCATGGAGTGATGAAGGTGATGGGATGCAGCTCATGCACTGGGCACTGGGATCCGGCATGCAGAAGGCTGCTCAGCTCCGTGCTGAGCGAGACCGGGGTACCTGGGAGCATCCATCTGGATACTGCTGCTCCGCTGGCACAGCTCCACCGCAGCACAGAGCCCTGGTTCATCCATCAGGTCCCTCTGAGGAGCATCATCTCCTAGAAACCCAGTGAACTGCAACCCTGCTGGAAGCAGCTCCGGTACCACCCAGCCACAAAGGAAACTGGCCCTGGATATAGCTCTGGAGGAGCGGGAAGGCCGGCTCCCCTTCCGTGTGCTTCCCTTACCCACACAGGGAGGAATTCTCCTTGGCAGCCTGCAAAAGAGGTACAGCTGCATCCCCGAAATGGGTTCCAGGGCTGAGAGGGATTCAGTTGCCTCGGGACTATAATGGGAGCGGCTCACACTGCCTTGGGAAGCCATAGGATGCTGGAAAATCACTGAGGGCCTCAGCTGAACACCTCTCCTTAGGCAAGGCAATTCCCTCCTTTGAGCTAGGGCATTAACATTCTTATTCCCTCACTGAATCTATGGAATTCCAAGGAACAAGCCCTATCCAGGAATAAACAGTAGGCTGGGGCTTGGAACTGAAGTGTAATTTAAGTTGCTAATGTCCTCATCCTCATTTATCATAGTAAAGCCTAACGAAGCAGCACCAGGAGCTCATTCCACTGCATTTCCCATCTCTTCATTCCCCACTTGTCCATTTGCAAGCATTTGAGCTCTGAACCCCCCACCCTGCTACTAACACAGCCTGTGCCCAAAGACATCTTCATGCAGGTACCAGAGAGGAAAACAGGGAGCACCTGAGATGAGAAGATGGGAAGCAAAAGGCACCGGCTTCCCTTGCTGGAAAGCTCTCATTCCATGAGCAAATCACTGCAGAGGGCCAAGGTGGGAATCCAAGCTGCTGCTGGGAGCTTATAGCTTGGGATCTGTGCTTCAGAGACACAGCAGCCACAGGCTTGGTCCACAACCATCCTGGTCCCAATCCGAAGCTCTGGCCAAAACACTGACCTGGTTTTGCTTCCTGGACCAGAAACCAGCACCTCCCCACCGCCAGCCAAGCTGCCAAAGCAAGCAGCTACTGCAAACACTCCAGGTTAATATTTACATTGGGATTCAGCACAGGAAGCGTGTGTTTTCCCACTGGGAAAGGGTGGGAAAGGTGTCACTGCAGCTGATGCATGAGGTGGGACATGAAGCAAGGTTGAAGGATACAGCTGGGTGTATTTGATGCCTGCACAAGCATCGTGAAGAAAGCACATACAGGACTTTGGGCATTCCCAACTTGGAAGTGATGCTGGAGCAGCCACAGGGGTGGGAAGTGGTGGCTGCTCCAGCCCTGCTTATGCTTGTGATTACAACAGAGCCCCAACTTCAAAGGGAACCACCCACAATGTGCCATAAAATCAGTGCTGACAAAGCGGCTCAGCTGAGCAGCGAAGGAGATGTTAGAGGGGATGAGCTGAATGCAAGGGGAATGTTGTCAAACAAACCCGCTCAGCTCCGTATGTGGGGTACCACTCAGCAGCTTGTTGTCAGGTCTGCTACAGAAGCACCTCACCACAGTATCTTCACCATTATCCTGCTTATTCATTGTCCTGAAAGCTGGAAACTTGGTCTCTAGGCAGTTTCACCTTTTCAGTGCTGTATGATGCTACCTTGTGTTTCACTCTCCTGGACAGGAGGGATGCAGGGCAGCATCTCTCCAGCCTGCTTTGATGCAGGACCACTGTTACCATACCCCTCAGCACTCAATCCTGCTGAATCTGGAGGCACAACCAGGCTCTGGAAGCTGGAATTCACCCATTTCCTCCACGCTTTCCCTTCCTCCCAACCACAGCATCCCAGGAAACTACAAAGAACAAACCTGCCCTGCAAAGGGCAATGCACAAGCCAATGCAGCTCATTTCTAGGAGAAGAAACAGGATTTTGGGGCCTTGCAGAGTCCATCCCTTGTGAGGGATCCCTTGAACCTCCCAACTCTCCATCAGCACAAGTCATGGTCTCAGTAGATCAACCTGAACATGCTTTGAGCCAGAGGGAGAGCAGGCAAAGGAGAAAGATGCCATACAGATCGGGTAGCATCCTACAAGGCAAGAGAAGAAAGGCTGGAGCCAAGCCAGTCCTGCCTCAGCATGAGGAAAAAGACCTGAGCAACACTAAAGACCCAGGAGCAACAAATCCAGTGCACAGATGGAAAGGATGGGAGCAATCAGCCACCCTTTGGCTGCCTCCAGCAGGCCCAGCAGGGAGGAGTTAGCAAGGTACAGGCAGCGTGGACAAATATTGACTTGCCTGCGGGCACAGAGAGCAGTGCCAGAGCTGAGAACGGAAGCCATGGGCCCCACATCCCAGCCTTCTGCTTCCTACTCCATCACCCATCAGCGAGGGCTTCGCAATCACAAGGCACCACCATTGCCTCTTCCTACCCCTCTTCTGCACGCTTCGACCCAGACACCCACAGGGACACGCAGCCAGTGCTGGAGGGCAAAGAGAGACCCAAACCCCATCACCAGTGTGGGAATAGGCACGAGGAGGATACGGAGCGTGCTGAGGAGGTGGCTGTGGGAACCGGGCTCACGACCTGCCCTGTTGGGTGCTGCACCAACACCAAGCAAGCCCTCCCTGTGCTGCCAGCGATCCCATGTCCCTGCTGGAGCGCTGTCAGCTGTACGGCTGCGCCCAGCCACCACCCTCCTGCGGCTCTTCACAGCACACTTGGCTCCCAACAGCAACAAAAGCCTTTCCAGGTCACCAAAACCCAGAGCACAGAACCCCCAAACCAGCTCTTTGGAAGCCTTTCCACAGCATGGCATGGGGAGCTGTGCACTGGGTCCGGCATCCTGAGCAAACAGCGATGGGAAGAGCCCACCCACCAGCTGTTTACCCCTTTTGAAGCCATCACAGAGAAAGAGGAACCCAGGAGGGACCACGTCCTTTCAACCCTCACCGTTCTATATGTCCCCAAGTCACACATGCTCCTGCCTCTATTGACACTGAAGCTTTGTAACCAACAACACACCGCATGTGCTCTTATCAGCTCGCAGCCCACAAAACACAGTCAAAGTTTAAAGCTCAGTCCCGTTTTGACATCCCCTCTTAGTATCTTTAACTACTAAGAGAAGCCCAGAGAAGCTGCGGCTGCCCCATCCTTGGCAGTGCTCAAAGCCAGGTTGGATGGGGCTTGAAGGTGTCCCTGTCCCTTCCAACCCAAACCCATCTGTGACACTAAGACCAGATGCTTTAAGGCAGCACCAAGCAGGGAGCGGCACCGGCAGGGAACCGCGGGCGAGGGCTCAGCTGCATCCGAAGGTCTGGGTCACTGAGCCCCGAGCCCGCTGGTCCACGGAGCCGGGTCGGAGCCGCAGCCGGTACCGGGGGAAGCGGTACCCGGAGGAAGCAGCACCGAGCCCGGCGCTCAGCCCTTACCTGCGGGAGGTCATGGCTCCGCCGCGCTCCGCTGCCGGCCCCGCACCGACTGCCCGCAGCTCCGCTCCGCTCCGCACCCCGCGGGGCGCTGGGCCCCGGCCGCCGGGGAAACCCCTCCCAGTGACGCGAGGGAATCCCCGCCCTCCGCTCCGCCCCGCCCCGCCCCGCCCCGCCCCATCGGGACCCGGGTGCGGCCCCGCGCTGCTCCGGTGCCCTCCGTGGGGCCGGGTCCTTCCCTCCTAACCCCAACCCCCCCCGTGCCCCGCATCCCCCGGGCTCGGCAGCGGGCGGGGCTGGTACCGGTGGTGTCTTCAGGAGGCGCTCGGTGCCCAAACGGTACCGAACTGTGGGAGGGAGACAGGGAGCGTGGAGAGGGGCTTGGGACAAGGGATGTAGGGACAGGGCAAGGGGAATGGCTTGAACCTGCCCGAGGGGAGACTGAGCTGAGCTCTTAGGCAGAAGCTCTTCCCTGTGAGGGTGCTGAGGCGCTGGCACAGGGTGCCCAGAGAAGCTGTGGCTGCCCCATCCCTGGCAGTGCTCAAGGCCAGGTTGGACACAGGGGCTTGGAGCAAGATGCTCCAGTGGAAGGGGTCCCTGCCCATGGGGACCTAGATGAGCTTTCAGGTCCCTTCAACCCAGCCCAGTCTGGGATGCTCTGATGATCCTATGAAAGGCTGAGGGAGCTGTTATCTGTTCAGCCTGGAGAAAAGAAGGCTCTGTGGAGACCTTGTCTCCACGTTCCAGTGTTTAAAGCATGGCCACAAAGAAGATGGAGACTCCCTTTTTACAAGGACATGGAAAAGGCAAGGCCTGATGGGCACAAGTTACTGCTGGGGACATTCCAGGCACAAGAGGAAAACGTTTCCCAATGAGAACAACCACTGGAATCACCCCCGCAGGGAAGAGGTGACTCCCTAGCATTGGGCACTGTTAAGCTGGGCTAGACAGGGTGCTGGGACACCTAACCCAGGGTTGGACCAAATGATCCTTGAGGCCCCTTGTATCTCAGTGTTGGCTTTTAGTGCTGGGTTGACAAGGTCTTGAGGGCCATGCTGCCAAGTGAATGGAGCAGCCAGCAGGCACTGAGCTGCTGAGCCTGGTGGGGCTAAGCCACATTTGCTCTTATCCCTGGATACCCTCAGCCCAGGGCACACGATGGAGTCAGGAAGGAGCAACGTCCCCAGGGCATTGCTCTCATCCCTATGGCAATACAGGGATGAGGTCCGCTGTAGGCGTGCTATACCCATCACACACCTAGAGCCCATTTGCCCACGTGAGGTGTAAGTTCAGAGGCCCCCAACAACCTCATGTCAAATCCACACCACTTCCCAGAAAAGCCAGAAATCAACCCAAAGAAATGCCCTGAATCTGGCACCTTTCATGAATGCCGGGTGAGAAAACCAAGCCAGCTGCCCAGAGGGAAAACCAGGATGCAGCCAGCGAGCCCCCCCCCGTTCCAGTCTACCCATAGTGGCAAAAATAGCATATCTATAACTATAATAAGACTCAGCAAATTCCATGTCTATTCGGGGAATACCCAGCGAGCTGGCGGCAGGAGCAGGCTCAGATCTCTGCATAGCTGTCCTGTGTGCCACCGGATTGCTCACAGGGCAACGAGGAGCACAGAGGCCAAATAGCAACCCTGATAACAATGACCCCTGTCCTCTCCTTCCTCTTTCCCCCTGCCACTGAGGCTCCCAGTGTCCTTCTGCACTGAGGCTCCATTGTGAGAGCCCAGACTGGGGTTTCTCTGTGTGCTTGTCTCATTATGGCTGGGGGGAACAAGACCCTTTCTCAGGGCAGGGGATGCTGTTCAGCCTCATGGTTAAAGACAGGTCAAAAGGAAACCTCTGGAATAGAGCTCCCCACTTCCTGTAAGTTACTGGTTTCTAGCTGTGCAATGGGTGAAAGTGGTCATGGAATGGGTTGTGTTGGAAGGGACCTTAAAGCTCATTTAGTTCCATAGGGGATGGAGAAGCTGTGGCTGCCCCATCCCTGGCAGTGCTCAAGGCCAGGTTGGACACAGGGGCTTGGAGCAAGCTGCTCCAGTGGAAGTTGCCCCTGTTCATGGCAATGGGTTGGAACTGGATGAGCTCTAAGGTCTCTTCCAACCCAAACCATTCCATGATCCTATGATCCTGCTGAGGGCTTAGCTCAGTAAAGTGGTTTCAGAATAGAGCTTAGCCCCACACTGAAGCTCCTTGCCATGGAGCTGGGGTTCACTGCTCCCAAAGACAAGGGTTACACAGCAAGCTGAGGATGGGCAGGACCATCCAACCCCAACTGCCTTCTCCTTGAAGACACCTCCTCTCTTTGCTCCCAGCAAGCACAGATGGGACCATCACGCCCAGTGCACACACAGCGTGTTCCTGATGGTGCTGAGCAGGAGAGGGGCCGCTGACAGCATGGCCAGGCTGTTCTCCTGAGTCACACTCACTGCCTGCCCCAGCGTGCCCTCCGTGGGGCTCCTGTGCTCCTTCCCTGCAGTGCAATCCCCATGCAGCTGCCAGAGCTTTCCCTCCTGGCCAAGACAACGATGGCTTTTCCTCCCTGCTGCTTTGCAGCAAGCTGGCAAGAGGCACTGCCTTTGCAAGTCCATGCCTGTTGTGGCACAATAAGGTCATTGTCAAGAAGACGCTGCACCAGGAGGCTGATCTGGAGCAAAACCATGGCCCTGGTTGTGAGCTGTGCAACCCCTGTGGCTGCGCAGACACTGGCCTCATTGTTTCCCATTGTGAGGCTCGGGCGTCTCGTTGTCCATGGCAAAGCCGGTTCCTGCTGAGCTGATGCAGACACCAATTGGCTCTGCATCACTGCTGGGTATCAGAATGACTGAGCTGCCTCCCAAACCCACGTTCGTCTCTTGCTTCCCATCACTTGGATGAGCAGTGAACAGAATTCTCCACCTCCCACCTTTTCTTGCAGAGATGAAGCTGCAGAGATCAGAGACAGGGCTCTGGCCAGATGGAAAGGCCCCATTAGGAAGAGCTATTTAAAGCAGGAGCTTAGATGCTGGTACATCTCAAACCACATCCTGCCTGCATGCTTGCGACTGACTTTTCATGGCTCCTCAGCTTACAGAGGGTAAAACCCGGGGGAAGCTGCTGCCATCAGTGAGGAGGAGGCCACGGAAGCATCACTTCAGCCTCACCAACATGGTGTCAATGGGATACACAGCCTCTTTTGAATATGCTGCCCAAGAATATGTGGTAAAAGCATGTATGGCAAAGAAGGTGAAACCATTCAGATGGCCACAGACCAGAGGAAGACACACAGGAGCCTTCCTCCTGCAAACACTGGGTGGGTAGGATTGAGGTTGGCATTCCTAGAGGCTCCCTTTGTAAGATCCAGCAGGTACCTGCATGAACCCCTCTTTCTAAAGGAAATAGAGGGAGATGCTGGTTTGACTTCACACCATATCTGCCATAGAGGGAGATGCTGGTTTGACTTCACACCATATCTGCCATAGAGGGAGATGTTGGTTTGACTTCACACCATATCTGTAATAGAGGGAGATGCTGGTTTGACTTCACACCATATCTGCCATAGAGGGAGATGCTGGTTTGACTTCGTATCTGCCATAGAGGGAGATGCTGGTTTGACTTCACACCATATCTGCCCAGGAGATGGTTATACAAGCAAACAGGGCACACAGAAGGAATGAACCAGGTCCCTTTGGAACGTATTGAATAGTTGTCAAACTTTATTTCATGGTGATTGACGAAAGACACAAGTTAGTAATGGTTATATCATGCTGCTCCTCTACTGTGCATTGCCCTTCAGAATTCATACAGCAGTTCACAACGGTCATTACGTTACCCTAGAAATGAAGCCACGTGGACGTCTTGTCTTTAAAAAACAAAAGGCAAAAAAAACCCCCAAAACACCCCAAGGAAACCAAAACCAAACCTCAATGTCCTTTGTGGTTCTTTTTTGTACATACATGGTATAAATGCTATTAAAAATAAAGCTGAAGTTAAGTGCACAGCCCCTAGGGAGCACTGCAGAATCGGACCTTGGTTCAAGATGCTTGACAACGAGGACGCAAGGTCCTGTTTTAAGGCATTTCCAAGCCCCAGCAAAAGCAGACAGAGATTTTGTTCAGTTGTTGGGGTTGGGGGGTGTTTGTTTTTGCAGTGACCCTGGCTTCATGTCAGTGGCATTCCAGAAAACGAGCAGCTTCCCACTGTGCGTGCCCCTCTCCCTTTGGAGCTGGAGCATCCAGCCCTCAAATCTCAGCCAAGGCATTGCTCAGCTAGAACCTGTGTCCTCAAAAGGGTCTCCCACTTCCCTCCCGTCCCACCCTGCATAGTTAGCCCCCATCTATCTACCCCTCGTGATCAAAGTAAAGCAGCCCATCCCTTTCACGACACAGTCACAACACTTCCCACCAGGAACCACAAGTTATGTACAGAATCCACTTAAAATGTGGTATTGCCACGCACACAAGCACACAAGCACACAGAGAGTGGGGTCTCCATCCCACAGAGGGCACAGCCCCCTGTGAAATACTCAATCACTGGATGTTGAGAGGAACGCCAATGGATTAGGCAGGGATTGGGGTGGTGGTAGATGTCTTTTAATGATAAAATAGAAGGAAAAAGTGGGTTTTCACTATGTTCTTCCCCTTTGTTACATCTGTGTTCGGAGCTCACCCTGAGGAAAGGAATTTGACTTTTCATGGCTCAAAATTCAGTGCTAAGAAACAGCCCTTTTAAAGGCTGCACTATTCTAAAGGTGCACTAAAAGGTGCGCTAACGTTTAAGGTGAAACTGCAAAATGATGCTAATAAACCCTTGATACCTGGTGGGATCCTTCAGCTGAATTCCATACGCTCCACAAAGGTGGTTTCACCCAAAGCAATGCCATCTCAGGGTGGGAAAGGGACACAGTTTTGTGACCCCGTGATGGAAAGGGCCATAGATGCTACACAGCATCAGTAAATTCTTCCCATGGAGAAGGAACCTGTATGGAATGGGATCATTTCAATGCGTTTGTTCTTCTCCTGCTTCCAGGAGATTCCAATGTGCTGGCTGACAGACACTCACAGACACATTCATTCAGACACACACATACTGGCTTTGTAACTGGCACCACAGTAGTTGCTTTTAAGGTCTTTAGAAAGGAAGAAACCCCTTTAAAACCCTCCTCCCAAACACAACAGCCGACTCGTGCCCCATTCCCGTTTCCATTGAGGCTATTGCTGCTGGGCTGGCAGCATCCCGAGGAGCTTTGATCATGGCATGGAAGACCCTGCATTGCAAAGCCTTGAAGTCAAAGGTACAACTCCAGTTGCTCTTCATGGGAGAGGCTCTTAAATACCAGCTCTACCCATTCACATGCTGGCCAGCTGGAAGCATCCTCAGGGTAGACACAGGGCAAGTCATGCCCGGAGGCTGGAATATGGACATGGGTGATGGAAGGACACATCCAACAAGTGAAAAGGGACGTGGTGCCCTCGCAGCCTGTTTGGCATGGCTGGAAGAGGGAGAGCACGTCCACCTCTTGAAGATGCTGCAGGTTCTCAGTGGTGCACGGGAGGGCAACGCTTGGTACATAGAAGCCCTTGGGAAGAGCAGCCAGGGCAAGCGGGTGGTTAGGACATGTCTGGATAAACACAAAGCGTGGAAATGAGGTTTCACAGCTGCTTCTGCACATGTCCAAGAGGAGGAGGAGGAGGAGAGCCAACAAGAGGAATCCACGTTTCCCCCACAGCCCCTCTCAGTCCAGCAAACAGTCATAAAGACAACCAAAGAGCAATGCTTTTCTGCCTGCTCAGAGCAGACCTTGGTCTCTCTTCCAGTGCATGGCATCCCTGATTTTAACAGAGCATAAAGGAGAAAAGCACTTGAGATTCTTACACACATAAATTATAGTGAAGAGGAAGGGAGGGAGGAGGGAGATAGGGCGAACATAGGGCCAGGCACCAAAGCAGGGTGGCAAGTCCTGCTTCTCTGATGGCCGCATCCCCGCTCAGCCGGCACCGAGGTGGGAAGGCAGTGAATCCACGAAGGCCACGCGGCTCGCCAGCACCAGCATCCTTTCCCCCACAGGCGTGAACGACAACCCAAGAACACAAGGGAGGAGGGGAGGGAGAAGGGGGGAAAAACCACCCGAAAAGAAGCTTCAAGTATGAAGAAGATTTCCAATGCGACGGGGAAGTTCTTCTGTCACTTCTTGGGAGACTTGGTTCAAGGTTTGTTCTTTGTTGCTGCTGTTGTGATTGAGTCTGACTGACCTGGGTAGACTGCAACCGAATGGATAACCCGAAAGAAAAGGTGTTTCCTCCCCTCCCTGTCCCCCCTCCCACCCCAAAAAATATAAAAAGCAATAAGTTTACAAAAATAGAAAATAATTACAGCAATAGGCAGGAGGGAGGGAAGGAGAAGGGAAGGTCCCTGGGGGGCTATTTGGCTGAGCAGTGTAATATCCTGGGGTTGTTTAAAGCGTCCTCCACCAGATGCAGTTCTTGGCGGTCCACAAGCACGTCCCTTATGCAGCCAATGAAGCCGGTGCTGTAGGCCTTGGGCAGCCTGTGAGCCAGGCTCAGCTTCTCCATTCCCCCTGCAAGAGATGGTGAGAAGGTTGGTGAGGAGGACAAGGGGGATGAAGGTGAAGCACTCAGAGTATGAAGAGGGAGAGGATGCTCCATGCCATCGGCACCAGGGTATCCAGAGCCATAGGCCAGTGAATGGCTCTTGTCAGGGGACACGGTGACATGGAAAGGGCTGGCATTTGGTAAAGCCAACCTTTCGTCACTCAGCTATCACCAGCCCTAGCAGGCAGAGAACAAGCAGGGGACTCTTTAGGTCAAGCCAGTGTTGCACTGCACAATAGGAGCCTCAATGTCCCAGCTCTGAGCTCCTCAAAAAGGGGCACAGAGGAGCTTCTCGCCTACAAGAAGCCTGGAGAAGGACTTTATACAAGGCTTTGTAGGGACAGGACAAGGGGGAATGGCTTTAACCTGCCAGAGGGGAGACTGAGGTGAGCTCTTAGGTGGAAGACTCACCCAGCCACAGGGCCCCATCTGTGTCCAGCTGTGTTGCACCAAGTGGAGAAGAGCCAGCAATGGGGGCTTCGTTGCCGACTTGAAGGGAGCCTTCTCTCTGCACTCTGCTCCCAGAGGGAAGGAAGAAGAAAGAGAAGTTGATTAGAGATAAAACACGGAGCCACTCGCTGCTTTACACTGGGCACCATCAGCCCTTAGCAACCTGGAGAGGAGCGGAGCTCTCCCTCAACCCGTCTAGCACAGAGTGGTCCTCGGTGCAACACCTCCATTGGAAGCCAGCACCAAGCGCTTCCTTCCAGCATCCCATGGGCACCCCACAGCTTCCCCCCATGTCCTCCATGCCCATGAGCAGAAATCCCCGGCATTCCAGGCGCATGATCCGCTCTCCACTCCCACCGCCAGTAAAAATAAAAGGGGGCATCTCGGGCTCAACACGAGCAGAATGCCAAACCCGCGGCCGGCTACGCGCAAAGGCACGACGAACCTTCCGTCCCTCCTTGCCCCCCTGTGACATTTCCAGGCGTGTCCCAACACGCGCCCCTCCGACGCAGCACTGCCCACATGCCTCTCCTCTATTATTATCACCCAAGAACAGGAGTGACCCATAGGGCATGAAGCCACGGTCATGACTCAGGCTCCTCCAGTGCTTATTGCCCATAGAGAGCAAGATCCCATCCTGCTGCCTTCACACCTGGATGCCTTGATATGGATCCACTGGTTGGTGTTGACCGGGACTGTGGATCGTAGGATGACTGGTTTGGAGCCCAGGTCGTAGGTCATTTGTACAAAGCCATCCACTATGGCAAGGGCGATGTAGTCTGATCGCTCCAGCCCCTTCCCGCTCCACAGGATCAGGCCCTGCGTGGCTTCTGTCTTGATGCTGAGTTCAAAGTGGTTTGATTGCAAGGCCTTCTCGCTGCACAGGGAGATGGGAGCAGGGGGGAAGAGAGACAGGAGTTAAAATCATGGCTACAGAAGCAACAGGGAGCAGCCAGCTCCTCAGAGCAACCTTCTCTGTTCGCAGCCAACTAGCTCCCCAGCTAAGGATAACCTTCAACTGACCCATAGCAGCAAGTTCGGACACATCCATCCCTGCCACAAGTCTTGGTATTGTCTCCTCATATGCAGGCACTGAAGGAAGGGGTCTATTAGGTGGGGTGGTGAACAGCAGAAGGGTTTTCCTCTCAGAGCTGCCTTTGATTCCCAATGGGAACCCAATGCTGTAAGACGTGAGCACCATGAAGGTGATGGAGACTGCCCACCGAGGCAGCAAAACCTTCTTTCCCCCAGATGCATTGTCTTTTCCCAGGGGAGGAATGAAGGAAGGGCAGGATTTCCCCCACATTGGCATCCCCATCTTTGCTCAGTCCCTTCTGTTACAGGCAAAAGGCTCTTGGCAAAAGGCGAGGTGCCATATGGAGTCACCATCCACTCCTGGGATGCTCCGAGACACACCGACACGTGTGCATACATAGACCAGACAACATGGGCACAACACAGACAGCTTTTTATTCCCAAGGGACACTGCATCCAAAGGGACAAGGGCTCTGCATGAAGCTGGCTCTCCAGTCAAGGTAACTCAGCCTCTCCCCTCACACTATTAGCTGTGTAGGTCCCCAGGAGCAAAGGGCCAGAGCTGGAGCTGCTGTTCCTATGCTGGAGGGACCCGGCTTCCTTCATGTTTGATCTCATCACCAGCAGAGCTGCATCCCTTATAAATAAAAAGCCACGGATACAGACACACAGGACACAGACAGAGACATGCTGAGGCAGCAACAGCAGAGCACGAGACACAGGAGCTGAAAGCCTGGCACAGACTCACCTGGGCTCCATGGGGTAGTCCAGTGCTTCGGGACTTAGACGCAGGAAGAAAGGGGAGCATGCCATAAGCGCAGGACAGCAGGAGACCCTTCCCTCCCACCCCTGCTCCAACAGGGAACACAGCAAGAGCTCTGCACCCTACACAGTGCCCAAGCTGAGAAAACCATCCAGGACAAGCCACTGTCCTTTGGGATGAGTTTCCTCAATCCAGGAAGCCAAGTTTGTGAGTATCTGCTCAGCCAGGGCGAGCAGAAGAATGCCAACAAGTGAATACCCAGTGATGCTGGGACTCTTCTGGGCCAGAACAATCAGTGTTCCTGCTCATGGAACTATCAGTTCCCTTTGCTGTCCTGCTGGGATGTGTATCACAGGATAGGACAGAGAGCAGCACTAATGGGGAAGAGAGCTTGGACCTGCGTCAGGAGGACCCTTTCCGAGGCAGACCTGCAGGCAGGTCTCAGGCTGGTCCTTTGGGATGCAGAATGGGATTCCATGGAGCCAAATAGCTGAACTGTCACCTGAGGACTCTAAATCAGCCTTGGGGCACACTTGGGCAGCAGGACGCACATGGAGATGAGGAAAACAAGGACTATAGAAAGAGAAGTCCAGAGAAGCTGTGGCTGCCCCATCCCTGGCAGTGTTCAAGGCCAGGTTGGACAGAGGGGCTTGGAGCAACCTGGTCAGTGGAAGTTGTCCTTATAAAAACCTATTAAAATGCATGTTCAAAACAGAAGTATGGGCATGTCATGGCCAGCAGATCCCAGAGGAGCAACTGGAGCGCCCATCCTGCCCAAGGCACATGTAAACTACTTTTTATGGGCATCCCAATGGGCCCTTCAGCCCTGGCAAGGCTCACGGGTGCTGCGGCCAAACCGCAGCTAAGGGATGCGAGGAGAAGTGCTAAGCTCCCTTGCAGGATGGGGCATGCACAGCCCAAATTGGCTGGCTGGGGCAGGGAGAAGGCTGGGAATGATGACCTTCCCTTTGGGAGCATTGGGAGAGGCAGGACGCAAAGGTAGCGGGGTCATTGCAGGGATGTGTCCGTGTCTATGCAAGGGGACAGCTGGGCACTGCCACGTGGCAGAGCTGCCGTGCAGGTCACTACATGCCCTTTGCTGCTGTAGGGCACTGCCTGGCTTAGGAGGATGCTTGGCTCCTAAATAAACCCTTTCCGAACCACCAGAGCATCTCTCAATGTGAACATGCAGGCAATGGGCTCTATGGTGCCTGGTATTGGCATGCATGCAGCAACTCAGCCTCCCAAGCCTCTGCCTGACCCCAGATTGTGAAGAATGATGTGAAATGGGGATGGGACAGGCAAGGATCGCTTAAACTCTCCCACACAGAGTGGGGAATGAAGCTGTGTGAATCAGTGCTGCTCTTCTATTGCTGATGATCAGCAACACAGACAGACAGCTAATAACAACAGAAGAAGGTTCCAGGGAGACCTTAGAGCAGCTCCCAGTGCCTAAAGGGGCTACAGGAAACCTGGAGAGGGGCTTTTGCAATGAGGTCTTAGGGAGAAGCTCTTCCCTGTGAGGGTGGTGAGGCTTAAGCTAAGCTCAGTGCTCCTCTTCCCAACCTGCCCTGTGCTCCCCTATGGGTGCTCATGGTGGCAATGGGTACATGGAGGGCAGATGGCTGCAGGGAGGACAGTACTTACGCAGGGATCTCATTGGTGAGGTGGCTTGAAAACAAAGAAACAAGGACATTGAGAAGAGACAGAGACCGACAAACAACAGCTTAACACAGACGCACCGAGGATATAGAGGCAGATGGATGGAGCCTAATCCAATATCCTGTCCCAGTGCTGTGGAGCTGGGAATTAATCACAGGGCCTATAGGAGCACGGTGCTGAGGAAGGATGCTGAGCCAGACCATGATGGACCAAGAGTCTCCTGTAGGAGAAATACCCAGCCCGGAGTACTTCAGTAGCTGTGTATTGGGCTCTGCTTTAATACAGAAGCTACACAGACCACAGGCTCCAAACACATATCCCTGGCCATGGGGGAAAAGCCAACGAGGCAGCTTTAATGGCTAAGGCTGGAAGTGACTGCTCACAGCTCCTATTTAGCTTGGCCTTCTTTCACTTGGACTTCTCCAACCCAACCTCTTCCTCCTAACAGCCCTAAAACCCTTGCTTTGACTTTGATTCAAGTTACCTCTTTGTCACAGCATTGTGGTACTCCATGTATGTCCTACCATCAAAAGCAATGGCTTCTGCATCTCCAGCAGCCTTCTCAATGATCACTGGAGGTGGGAAAAAGAAGAGCTGTCAGGCAAAGGAGCATGGCCTGTCCATCCTTAAAGACCAGGAATATCCCCCTTTACACCGAGCATCCATAGCAGGATGAAGGCATGCACAAACATGCCATCCCTTGGGGCACATCAGCATGGTGTCACTCTAAGCAAGCCCCTGGAAAGCTTTATAGTGGATTTAGAGCCTTTGTGCTTGTGGTGTCCTCCCCCCAGGAGCCACAAGGAGAAGACCTCAGGCTTGGCAATAGCCATTCACTGTCCTGATGCCACCAGCTAGCCATGGAAGCAGCTCCATTGCCGTGTGTGGCTAACGAAGGTCCATGCCCATCCCTGCCATCTCACCTCTCTCACAGTGAGCCCCAGAGAAGCCCCTCTGGCAGGAGCACTCATAGGTCTCCATCCGAGGGCTGCAGGTACCCCCGTTCTGGCATGGATTGGGTTTTTGGGTGCAGGGGTGGCCTCGGAAGGGGGAGATCTCAATGGCGCTGCGGATGTTCTCCTCCTTCAGCACAGGAACCCCCTTGATGGTGATCTGGCAGGTAGAGGCAAGAGGAAGCACAAGTCAGCCTTCCCCAACCCATCTCTCTATGGGGCTGGTGGAGGCACAGAGACCAGTATCCTCCTGGGGACGCTGAGCAGCAGCCCCAAGCCTGTGTTCTCCTGTGATGTACCCCAAGTGCTGCCACTTTTCAACCACTTGTGTCCCCCCAATGCACATGGATCCATATCCCATGGCCAGCCCACTCCCAGGCTAATCCTCCAGTGAAACCAGTGCTGATGGCACCCTTCCCAGCAAGGCTCCTGCCCAATGCTGCCCGTTATGGCCTTACCTTCTGCACTGCTCCATCGAAGCTGGTGGAGATGGCGGCTGCTCGAGCGAGCTTGCTGAAATCAGGGGCTCCCCCCACGTAAAACGGCTCCTTCAGGTTCAGGAAGGTGTGAGGGACCTGGGATGGAGATGGGAGAAGGTGAGATGGAGATGTTGTGGGGTTGGGAGCAGGGCCGTGCGGCACAACCACAACCAGGTGTCCTCTGCTCATCCCCATTCCCTGCCTTCCTTCCTTATGGGCGTCCAGTGAACCCCCTTATGCCAAGCTCCAAAGTCTTGCCTGCAGCAGGCACACAAGGAGAAGATTCCCCATGGGTTTAAGTTGGCAGAGATGCTGTTGTGATGCTCTCAGCTGCGGAAGCCTCTGGTTTTGTGTGGTACCCAAAACCAAGTACATAAATATTGCTTCAGCCTCCCCAGGGGTAATGTTTAAACCCAAAAGCATCACATATTCAGCTTGGGTCCCTTACATCCCAAAGCATTCCATATTCAGCTTGGGTCTCCTACATCCCAAAGCATTCCATATTCAGCTTGGGTCCCTTACATCCCAAAGCATTCCATATTCAGCTTGGGTCCCCTACATCCCAAAGCATTCCATATTCAGCTTGGGTCTCCTACATCCCAAAGCATTCCATATTCAGCTTGGGTCCCCTACATCCCAAAGCATTCCATATTCAGCTTGGGTCCCTTACATCCCAAAGCATTCCATATTCAGCTTGGGTCTCCTACATCCCAAAGCATTCATATTCAGCTTGGGTCCCTTACATCCCAAAGCATTCCATATTCAGCTTGGGTCTCCTACATCCCAAAGCATTCCATATACAGCTTGGGTCCCCTACATCCCAAAGCATTCCATATTCAGCCTGGGTGTCCTACATCCCAAAGCATTCCATATTCAGCTTGGATCCCCTATAGCAAATAGCTAGAGGAGGTTCTCCTGCATCTCACGTGTGTTTGGAGGAGAAAGACTCCTTGCTGTCACCCTGCAGCCCGAACTAGGTGAGTCTTCAGCCCCATGGATCACTGGGCACATAACAGGAGGAACATCCCTTCCTGAGCTCCTGGGATGGACCCAGAGGCAGAGCAGCGAGGCAGGGATGCAGTTGGATGAGTCACTAGCTAATGCCTTGTGGAGTTAACACGAGAAACATGACCGGATGGATTGAAATGCTTCCGAAACAAAATGCAAGGACTGGCTGGAAAACTAATGATGGAAAAGGAAAGGAGTGTCTCTAAATCTACAGAGAACCTAAAGCTGTTTGGTCAGATGGAACACTGAGATCTGGATGGAAAACAAGGAACACGTGCCGATGGCAGATGGGATGGAGGTTGCAGTGGGTCATACTTATCTTTACCTTACGGGATTTCTGGGATCCAGACAGCAGGGGAAGGGAAAAATACAGTGAAAATCAACGGGAGAGAAAGAGAGAAAAGGGACATCAGTGGGTAACATCATTCCATGCAGGGCTGCAAGAGCACCAGTGCCCAGGGGAGGTAGGGAAGGGCAAAAGGATGCTGCAGAAGGCAACAGGAGGGGTGGCTGACAAGCAGGGTAAGCTTGAAGCTTGGAGAGATGAGTTAGGGGAGGAAAAGAGCCCTTCTTCTGCAGGAATGCTGCTTAACCTTGGTGCTGCACTTATTAGGGATGAGTTCAGCAGCAATTGGGGTTTTCCTTGCATTACCAGCTTCCCCATTGAAAAACTAGATGAAAGAAAGGCAAATAGCCCTGCTATGGGACCCCAGGAACTGCTCTTTGTGCAGAGACAAAGTGAACAGGGAGAAGTCGGACGTAAGCTGCCCGCTTGGGAACAGAGGAGAGAAGGCACTAATGGATTCAGCAGCAACACTGCAATGGGCTTTTACTGAGCCCAGCATCACAAGCACAGCCTGCACCAAAAAGGGTCCAGAGGGATAAGCAAGGACCTGCAACAAAGGGTAGGGGTGTCCATGTGGGTTGGGGGGCTCAGTCCAACAGAGCCCTGCAACCAAAGCCCCCCAATCAGGCTCTGTGTGATGGGGACAAGGAGAAAGGACGAGCTGGTCCTACAGCACCAGGGCCAGGCTGCAGAGTAGCTATGAGGCTGGTAAGCTCTGCCCCACAGCATCCTTTGCCTCCTAAGGTCATGCCCACTCTTCCTCCACCCCTGAAGCCGTGTAAAAGCACCAGGGACTTCTCAGCTCATCTCACACATGGGAGGAACAAGGCTGGAAGCTCTCCCTGGCCCATCACTTACCGGGGACTCTCCCATCACCCTCTCGCCGTTGTTGATCCTCATGACCCCTTTGCGCCCATTCCTCTCCAACAAGACGCTCATCCAAGTGTTGAGGGGAACGGGCTCTTTGCTCCTGGTGGCGAGAAGGGAGGAGAAGGCACATGGGTGTAAAGCTGCCTTGGCCAGCTTGCGGTGACACACAGAGCCCAGCATTAGGTGAGGAAAGAGGGACAAAGGAGGGGTGGAAGCAGCTCTGCCTTGTCCCACAAAGGGACACCCAACCAAGCAGCCAAGCATGAAGCCTCCTTCCCACCATTCCTTATGGCTTGCATGGAGGGGAGCTCCAAGCCAGTGCTGGATGCTCCTGCCATCACCACCACCCTGAGGAGCAGGTCCCAAGCCCTACCTGAGCACAGCTGCCCCTTTGCCCAGGTCGTATCTGTACTCCAGGTAACCATTGTGTAGAGCCAGAGACACAAAGTCCCCTTTGCCATCAGTCTTCTGGCCGTTGTAGAAGATCATGCCGCTGGGGTTCTTGGCCAGGAACACAACTTCCATGGACATTTTGTCCCTGAGGAGAGAAGTATGATGGATACCCTCCAATCCGACATTCCAAGCCCTTGGAATACCTCTGCCTGCCTGGTACAGCAGAGATTCCACCCCTGTAGGGCACTTTTGCTAGGTAAGAGATGCATGTGCTGTGGTCAGGATGCTGCTCCATGCTGCCTGTTTACCCAGCTTGCTGCAACACCAAGCACCCAGGGCATGGTGCTGGCTGCAGGGATTCTGGCAATGCCATTCATAGAATCCATGGGGTTGGAAAAAGACCTTTAAGATCAAATCCAACCTTTCCCTCTGGACTAAACCTGCAGCAGGCAAAGGGAAGACCTCTAGGGGAAAGCAGGCACAAGCTCTGTTCCCCAATCACTGCATCTCATTCCCAGGCACTTACTGCAGGTCAGGAACGAAGCTCTGCAGCCCATTCAGCTCCAGGTAGGAGAAGCCATTGAACTCCGGGAGGAAAGGCATGGTGTGGTCCTGCTCTGTCACTGGGCACAGACAGGGGAACGGTGAGGAAGAGGAGGCAAAACAGCTCTGGATGGTGCCCCACAGCCCCCTGGTCACCCCCAGGCTGGGCCAATGAGCACCTTCAGTTCCACCCCGTTCCCACACCCGCTCCCATCCCACCTCGCTCGCAGAAGTCTCCTTCCCGGCCCATGGGGCAGGCACACAGGGCACCTCCCTCCGGCAGCACCAGGCAGGTGGCAGAGACGTGGCAGGGGGTAGGGTCACAGGGGTTCCTCTCGTCAGCACAGGTTGGACCTGCAGCAGAAGGGGAAGGTTTGCCACATCAGCATCCCAAATCAACCGGGCATGGACACGTCTCTGATGTCTCCTGATGCACTGCCGGGCTCAGATTGGGCTCCCGTGATGCAGGAGCACCCCACAGCAAGCCCCACGAATGGCAAATGTGCAAAATTACACACCTAAAATGCAAGAGGACACTTTTTTGTGCACGAGAATGAACAGATCCTGGCCCTTGTGTTATCATAGAATAGTTAGGCTTGGAAAGGACCTTAAGATCATCCAGTTCCAACCTCCTGCCACGGGCAGAGAGTATTATGTGAATATCAATAGAATTCTACATTTACTGACTTCAGTGGATGTGGTTTCATCCCACTCTTCTCCCTCTTCTGCTGTAGCCCATAACATCATGGGATGGTTTGAGTTGGAAGGGACCTTGAAGCTCATCCAGTCCAACCCCCTGCAATGAGCAGGGATATCTCCAACCAGATCAGGTTGCCCATAGCCACATCCAGCCTTGAACGCCTCCAGGGACAAGGTCGCAGAGCTTTTGGCTTAAAACCCCTATCTTTTTAGTGCTACAACCAATCTGACCCCCATCCAAACCCATCACCTCCTTTATCAGCTCGCCTCTGGGATCCCTCAGGACCCGGCAGTGGGATGAGGACCCCCAGCACGATCCACACGTACCAGTGTAGGTGTGGAGGCACTCGCAGTGGAACATCTCAGCCTCCTTGACGTGGCAGATGCCGCTGTGGTGGCAGGGGTTGGGGTGGCAGGGGTCGTTGCCACACTCGCCCACCCCGCTGCCATAGAGCACATCACTGCCTTTCTCCCGCAGGTCGTACATCTGGTTGTTCACATCCAGGAGGCGGATGCAGCCCTTCAGGCCGGTGGTGGCTGTGGTCCGATCTGCCACCCTGAGGGCACAACAGGACAGAGTCAATGGGGGTTTGTCCCCAAGGACAAAACTGCAGGGGAATCCCAAGCAACAGGGTCAGGCTGTGGTACCCAGTGATGCTTCATTGCACAAACACCCTCCAGCCACCACCCGGAGCCTGGATACAGAGGCCTCAGCCCCTAGGGATGCTCTGCCCACAGCAGCAGAGGATGGTTTGGGTTGGAAAGGACCTTAAAGCTCATCCAGCTCCAACCCATTGCCATGAACGGGGACACCTTCTGATGGACCAGGTTGCTCCAAGCCCCGTCCAACCTGGCCTTGAACACTGCCAGGGATGGGGCGATGCCCAGGGCACCCTCACTCACACAGCCATTTGGTCCTCAGGTGCTCCCCCGATGAAGAGGTCCGTGTCGAGGTTGAGCCCATCGGTGCCTGTGGGGCTTTCCCCACTGACGTGGGGCTCCCCATCCACTGACAGCACCCCACTGCGCCGGTTCCGGTTCACCACCAACTGGTGCCACTTGCCAGGCTCCACACGGACCTTGCTGGTGATGATGCCAGTGCCGGAGCCAGTGTTAAACCTGGAGCAGAAGAGGAGGCCTGGGGCTGTGCCACCCTGCAGACAAGGGGCATCTGTGCCATGGCACGGGGGCTGCTGTGTCCCCCTTCCACAGGCTGGGTTGGGTTGGAAGGGACCTTAAAGCTCATCCAGTTCCACGGACAGGGACCCCTTCCACTGGAGCAGCTTGCTCCAAGCCCCTGTGTCCAACCTGGCCTTGAACACTGCCAGGGATGGGGCAGCCACAGCTTCTCTGGGCACCCTGTGCCAGCGCCTCAGCACCCTCACAGGGAAGAGCTTCTGCCTAAGAGCTCAGCTCAGTCTCCCCTCGGGCAGGTTCAAGCCATTCCCCTTGCCCTGTCCCTACAGGCCCCTGTCCCAAGCCCCTCTCCAGGTTTCCCCTTCAGAAGCCTTCTCTTCTCCACCGAAAGGTGGAGTCTGCACCTTTGGCTTTTAGGATGGGAAAAGTAACTCCATGCTCACACTTCTGGGGCCTTTCTTCCTTTCTTTCTCCCCCTGCATTTCTTTTTTCCAGTACAAAAACAGCACCAAAAAAAGACCTTTCCCTTGCTCAAAAAAACCAACCTCCCACAGCTTTCCAAACATCAAACTGAAATAAGGGAATTGAGTCCCCTTCGCGTTCCAATTACACTGGGAAAACCACTCTTCTTGTCCATTGATGCTACTGTATCTTAGCCTCCACGTTCAAGCCCAGCATCCTCCTGATGCTCTGCGAGGACCATTCACAGCTTCCCTGCTTCCTCCTCACCACGCAAGGCTGAGGGCACCCACCTGAGCTCCACGAAGCCGCCAACCAATGCCAGGGAGATGAAGTCTTTGCCACGGTTCTGGCCATTGTAGAGCAGGAGCCCGCTGAGCTCCAGGGTCCTGAACTCCATGGCGATGCGCACGGTGTGGTACGCCTTCATCATCTTGAAGGCCAGGTAGGACTTGCCACCGAAGCTGGGGATGAAGTACCTGATAGCTGCAAGAGCCAGGGTGGGTAGGGAAAGGAAGGGGGGATGAAGCAGAGGAAGGGATAGAAGGATGGAGAGGAAATAAAAGCCTGTGAACACCTTCCTACCTGCACAAAGAGAGAGCTCTTATGAAGTGGCACAAAGAAGCTCACATTCTCCTCTGGACCCATGCTTCTATGCAATTATCCCCTCCCAGACACTCATATTGGTTATGAACCAGCTCCTCTCATGATGGCATGACCCTAAATATTGCTTCCAGGCTTTAGAGATCTGTGGTATTGCTCCCCTAGCACTTGGCTTCAGTGATGCCCCAACCACCTCCTCCCAGTTAAGGACCGGTGCTGCTGGTCCTCTCCATGCTCAGCTATCACATCCCCTGCTGCACACACAGCTAGTTCCTCCTAACTCAACTCCCCTGCTCCTGAGATAGATTTTATCAGGAGATAAAACCCCTGGGATAAATATCCCAGAATCCCACATGACAGATTTACATTCATCCCTCCAGGCTTCTATTTAGTGCAGCTGAGATTTTCCAAGGGATCTGGAAGACCAAGCCCTATTAAAATGAACAGGGCTGGATACCCGCATCCAGCAGCAGCTCTGAATGCTCCATCTTACAGCTTTAGGGACAAAGCTGGTCAGGAATAAGCACTGAGAAGCCCTTGGTGTGACTGTGGGAGCTCACAGTCACCACCAGCAGCTCTGGTTAAACGTGCTGTCAGGATGGAGCTGTTTGCATAGCAGCTACTATCAGCACATATCTAGTGTATGACAGGACAGTTACTACTTGCCCCTGTTACATTCACAACCAGTCAATAGCTTCAGGAGAGCAACAATGCCATTAGCTGAGATTAAAAGGAGAAGCTCAATCTCCAATGCGTTGGGGCACTGACGGAGCACAAGTGAAGCCAGGAAGAAATTGCTCCAGGCACCTTCTTAGCATCACTGAATGGTTTGGGTTGGAAAAGACCTTAAGCCCATCGAGTTCCAACCCCCTGCCATGGGCAGGGACACCTCATCCTAGACCATGTCACCCAAGACTCCATCCAACCCGGCCTTGAACGCTGCCAGGGATGGAGCATCCACAACTTCCTTAGGCAACCCATTCTTACCCTGCAGCCTTGCTGTGCTTGCCTTTTAACACGCACAGTGTGTGTACAACCTGCTTGTGGCTGTGTTAATGCCAGTTGAATTGATCCCTGCCTGGTGATGTTGTGGGGCTGGGTCTGTTCCCAACATCTCTCCATCACCACCATCAAGTCCATTGATGGATAGACCAACAGAGGTCCATACAGAAGCACGTACGTTTCTCACACACAGCTCCCCCTTTGCCAGCCGGGCAGCTACAGGTGAACTCCTTCCCATCATCCTCACAGGTGCCACCATGCAAACAGGGGTGAGAGTCACAGGGACGTGAGGGCTTCTTCGTGGTAGGGGGCTGGCGCGTGGGCTTCCGACGCGTGGTGGCCGGTAGGGTGGATGCAGGTCTCCTGGTGCTCATAGCTCCTGACATCTTGGTGCTGGGTCTACCCATGGTGTCCTGGCGCAGGAAATGGACTGTGGTGGCAGCGGCGGCCGTGGTGTACCGGCGGGTGGTGGCGGGTGCCATGGTGGTGGCCGTGGTGGTGGTGACGGTGGTGGTGAAGAGCCGGGGGATCCAGTCTGAAACAGGATAATGCAGATTGACACCGGTGCTTTGGAACCCTTTGTATAGAGTCATAGAATGGTTTGGGTTGGAATGGACCTTATGGTCATGCATCCCACCGCATGTCCCAGCTTATGGTGCAGAAGTTGCCTGCACCGAGCCCTTCTCTTCCTCCCACCCTGCCATGAAGTAGCCACAGATAGAGGGGGGCTCACCAAAGTCCATGAATTTGATATGCTCCTGTTGGGGCTTCTTCACCAGGATGGTTGTCTTCTTGGAAGCTTTGATCTGCTTCAGCAAGGCCCCTTGGACATCCGCTGCCGTGTAGGAAGTGGCTGACCATAACCAGGAGGAGAAAGGTAAGAGTGAAGATGCGTGTTTACCTAGGAGCTTCCCTCTCATGACAATGGATCTGAATCATTCCTATCCCTAGGGAATGCTTCTGCCTGCATTCCACAATGAATCAGCACTTACCTGGGTCAAAGTGGGCCTCCACAATGACGCGGACAGCGCTGCTCTGCCCCAGGTCTCGGACACGGATGCTCTTGAAGTCCTTCTTAACATCGGAATTGCGGAAAAGCTCATCCAGCTTTTGGCCAGAAGTGAAGGAGAGAGGAGAAACCAAGTGGTTAATGGGGAGAGCCAAGGAGATGGGTCCTTTCAGTAGGAAAGCCTGAATCCCAGCTAGTCTCCTTGGTTTTGCATCCAAACCTTTGCGAGCATCCAAGTGACACAAGCAGAGAACGAGCCCCGTTGCCTATGATGATAACTTCATCTGGTCCCTACTCTTTACAGCCTGCAGTCAGAGGTAAGAACAGGCTCCAGACATAAAGCAGGGAAGTGAGCTGTCCCCATGGTGAGGAAGAGCAGAACAGAGGCAGACTAGAGACACCTTGCAGTTCATACAGGGATTTTCTATTGTGTAGCATCTAAGTCTTTCTGATCTCTTCTAAAGCTGGGTAAACCTTGGGAAAATCCCATAAGGGGCCATTCTGCATCTTTAAGTACCTGATTGCCTTTTAATACTTGGCTCTCAGACACTGCAGGATTTGTCTGAAGTCAGAGGAAGGAGACAATGACAGTCCAAGGCTTACAGTCAGGCTTTAATACCCCTGCAGGCTATCTATCCAGCCTCATGGAACCCTGCTAGTGTGGCCAGAAGTCATCACAGCCAGAGGCCACCATGTCCTTCCCTCAAGGAAAACACACAGGAAAGTAATAACTGGCTAATGGTCCCATGGAATACTGATCTCAGAGGGATGAGGGAGCACATCACATCCACGGGCGTTTGAATGTGACTTGCACAATGACAACAGGCTCTGCAGCATTGGGCCACAGCAGTAACATTGACAGAGGTCCTGTGCCATGCCTTCCTATCCCCCAGCCTGGGAAAAGAGCCTTCCTGGGGGGAAGAATGGATGACCCATGAATGAAGCTTTTGTGTGCCTCTTTGCATCCTCGGATGGAAGCCGCTGTTGTATTGGGAAACACTGCTATGGTGATATAGAACTGCACGAGCCATATGGTCCATATGCCAGGCACTCATCTGCTTATACGCCTGTACTGAGGGCTTGCCAACTTCTAAGTGCAGCTTGGAACCAGCTCTAAATACATTAATCTCCTTGCAAAGATGCTCTGTATTTGCTATGCCATGCTATAATGTTGCTCCCAAACCTATATATGTACACAGTACCATGCAAAGGCCACTACGCCTAGAACAGCCCCCCCACCAAAATCAAGCTGAAAAAGGCTGGGTTTTGACCCACCACATAGCAAAGGATGGAGCCAACTGACACACCAAGTGGTAGAGGCTAATAACACGCTACAAAGAGGTGACACAATTCAAACGGGGTATCTCTTAGAACTGCCCCATCATCGCTTTACATTCCTAAGTGCCCATAACAGTGATAAGTTGTGTCCACCCCAACTTCTGTAGGTTGAGCCCACCTTAAATAAACCCCAAAACCAACACGGAGCAATGCTCCTTCAAGATGCTCAACATGTTTTGCAGCCAGGTCTCTGTGCTCCCATTGACAGGCAGCAATGAGAGACCTCTCCAGAAGCCATCACAAACAAGGATGGAGGCAAAGCAGGAGACCCACAGTTTAGTTGTCTGACCACCATAGTGGAGACAGAGGCGGGCAGGATCTTGTCTTCTTCTGCCAAAGCCCTATCCATCCACAATCCATGCCAAAGCCCTATGCATCCATGATCAAGTGCAAAGGACTCACCGCACTCTCAATGCTCCTCGCTGTCTCCCCAAAGAGCTCTGATTTGGGATCAGCCATCTCGGGTGTGTAGAACAGCTCCTGGCCTTCCACCTCTTCCAAGATGAGGACTCCTTGGAAGACTTTGGTAGCTATGGAATGGAAGGGCAGACAAGACAAACGCCTTTAGTCAGCTTGTGGGAAAGGGGACAGGCGTCTGGCTGACAGCATTCGAGTCCCTGGTGGGGGAAAGGGTGATGGCAGTGTGCGGGTAGTGCCAGTGTTGGGGTTAGTCTGGATGGGTCTGCACCATGGAGGATTAGTATTCAAGGGGTGCTGGAGCAGATGGCAAAGACCAGGCTCGAGATGGCAGCTTTTACCATACGGGTTCCTGTGAGCTCCGGCCCGGGTAGCAGCCCCCCTGCACCGGCTGAGTAACAAGAGAAAGACGTTAGCCAGAGCAGCACATAGTCAACACGGCAGGATCACACACGTGCATGCAAACAGGGGCAGAGAGGAGGGCGAAAAGTGGGCTCTGGACAAGAAGACCTGTGCTGGGAGAGGGAAGTGACCAGCTAACAGGCCTTGGAAACCAGCCTGAAAGTGCAAGAGGAACCCAAAGGATGGTTCCCTTCCCATAGAGGCACCTATAGAAGATCCCCGCTGTGGGTAACCACACGGGACATTCCCAGAAGTTGTGCTTTTGTGGGTTAAAATGTGGTGTCCATAGGAAAAGGGGATGTTCTGCTCAGAGAGGGACAGTTGAGAAGGACCACAGCGAGGAAGCATCTGAGAGGTGGCCCCAGAGCAATAAGTTTTAGGTTAACAAGGATGCACGTTCAGAACAACCTATACTGTGATCCAACATGGGTAGCTCTGTGTTTCCTCAATATGAACAGTGTGAAAGGACAAGACAGATCCCACCTAGGCCATGAGCACCCCTGGGAATCAGGAGTCAAGAAGCTCCCCAGGATGCCCAGCACAGACACTGGGGCTCAGCTGCTCTCCCATGGGGTTAAACTGGTCCTGGTCAGCCCAGCTGCCTTTATAGATATCAACGTAGATAACGGGAATCCAAGGAATTCCCTCATTGTCCCTAGTGCCAGTCAGGAGCTCTGCAGAAGCCTGGGTAGAGCACTGGGCAAGTTGTTAAGGAAGAAAGTGGTCACCTAAGGGAAGCAACAGAGTTCCCTGGCCCTCAGTTCAGCAGCAGGGTGGCTGCTGGCTGCTCTGAGCACAACATCCATGGCTCAGCATCTCCTCATGAGCATCCTCTTGCACCAATCCCTTCCCGCACCCTACAAGAGCTCAGCCTGACCCCTGATCACTGAATGGGACCCCGGAGCCCATCCCTAGGGACAAACTCACCCGGGCAGTTGGTGCCTTCAGCATCTGCAGCCGCAGTCTTGCCATCCGAGCAGCATCCCAGCGGGGTGTTGTAGCACGTCGCCCTCTCGATGCCTGGGGTGGAAGTTACTTGGCTTTCCTCCACCTCCTCCTCCCCTGCAGGGCATCAAGAGGAGCATTCACCAGCAGGAGGTAAGACCTCACCTCTGCATCAGAGCTTCACAGCTTCGTGTTGTCAAGGGCACAGGGTATGGTTTAGCCCACAACCAACCTGCCAAGCCAACCCTAAGCAGCGCAAACTCACCGGCAGAGCCTGCCCCGCTCGATTCCTGGTCTCCACTGATACCCATCTCCTGGTCTCCACTGCCTTCTGCACTGCCTGATTCAACATAGGCAGGCTGGGTGGTGGCCAGGACCACTGGTGCAGTGGAAAGAGGGCGGACAGTGGTCTTATACACCCCATGGGTCATCCATGGGGTGGTGGCGGGTCTGGCAGTGGTGATTCGCCTCGTTGTAGGGTGACCTCTTTCAGTAGGCTTGGCTTCCAACAGCAGGGAGCTGGTGGGCAGCTCGGTGGGCTCCGGAGCCTGGGTGGTGAGCTGCAGGGGTGGAGGGAGCATCAACTTGTCCAAGGGCACTGTTGGCAATGGTGTTGGCGGTGGGATGTGGCTGGTGTGAGTGATGGACTCTGAAAGGAGAAGGAGGACAGGGTAGGTAAGGAGGCATCTTCCCTGCCATGAAGAGTCATGGCACAGCAAGGAACCACAGCCAGGACCACGTCCAGTGTGTGGCACAGCACTGAGAGCAGCAGATGCTCACCATGGCACTGCCCCACGTGTTTCACTGTGATGACTTGTCCCTGCCGGCAGGCGATGGTCTTCAGTTGGCACTGGTCCCCATAGGTGACACCATCAGAACCACACACCTGGGATGCAGAGGGGAAATGTGAGCTGTGCCTCTGTCCCCCTCCAAGCACTGGGAACAATGAACCCATCTCTAAGTGCTGGAAGCTTTGCAGGGTCCTTTAGAGGCAAAGAGGTGAGCACAGAGGGACCACTGCAGAAGCCCAGGAGCAATGATGCTCAGAGCATCCAGCTCTGCTGGGGGACATCTACAACTCATGTCACCCTTCAAAGAGTGACCAAACGTCCCCTCCTGCTTCTTGGGGTGGAAAAGAGCCATGACAGTCATGCTGCCCACCCGTCCCCAGCACGCTGCTCAGGCCCACAAACCTTGGTCATGTTGGCATCCAAGCAGAGCGGGGATGGGCACTCGCAGTGGGCAAAGCCATTGACTTCCACACAGGAGGCCCCAAACTCACAGTTCATCTCCTCACAGGATTTGGGGGCTGATGGGTCTGGGGTAGGGAGAGAAGGGGGAAAAGATGGGAAGAGATGATCAACAAAGCACATACCAAGCATGAAGAAACAGGCTATATAATGAAATCCCTCTCTCCTTCCAGTAGGTCTTAGCTCTTCCAGTTCAGACTGATGGACAAGACAGTCTTTCCCCAAAAAGACAGAGTCCTTTATGCACAGATAACAGGAAGCCAGCCAGGAATGGAGGCCCCTTCATCCCAAAGCACAAGCATCCGGCATGGGAGGGATGCTTTTCTTCCAGGATCAGCATTATCCAAGCACCCGCTCTCAGTGCCCCACACAGTCCCTCTGGCACCTCACCTTTCTCACAGCCAGTCATGCCCAGCTTGCTGCCATTGGGACACTGGTTGCACTTCATGCCAGTGATACCAGTCTTGCAGGAGCACAGGCCAGTCATCTGCTCGCAGTCATCACGCACTGAACCCACCGGGTCGCAGTTACAGGCTGGGCAAGAAAGGGGAAAGAAGACACTGGTTTGCTGGTGATCCAAGCAGATCCAAGCACCTTAAGATCATTCTTGAACACTGCCAGGGATGGAGCAGCTACAGCTTCTCTGGGCACCCTGTGCCAGCACCTCAGCACCCTCACAGGGAAGAGCTTCCTTACGTCCAACCTGAACTTCCCGTTTCAGTTTGAACCCATCACCCTTTGTCCTATTGCTACAGTCCCTGATGAAGAGTCATAGAATGATAGAATCATAGATTAGTTTGGGTTGGAAAGGACCTTAAGCTCACCCAGTTCCAACCCACTGCCATGGGCAGGGACACCTCACACTAAACCATATCACCCAAGGCCTCGTCCAACCTGGCCTTGAACACTGCCAGGGATGGAGCATTCACAACCTCCCTGGGCAACCCATTCCAGTGCCTCACCACCCTAACAGGAAAGAATTTCCTCCTTATATCCAATCTAAACTTCCCCTGTTTCAGTTTGAACCCGTTACCCCTTGTCCTGTCACTACAGTCCCTAATGAAGAGTCCCTCCCCAGCATCCCTATAGGCCCCTTCAGATACTGGAAGCTGCTCTGAGGTCTCCACGCAGCCTTCTCTTCTCCAGGCTGAACAGCCCCAACTTTCTCAGCCTATCTTCATATGGGAGGTGCCCTAGTCCCCTGATCATTCTCGTGGCCCTCCTCTGGACTTGTCCCTCAATGATATCCCATTCTCTTTAGACAGAACACGCTCCCGCAACCTCTGTCATGGGAGGGATGCTTTGGAGCATCCCTATGGGATGGGCTGATGGCCACACTCACGGGTGCAGCCGCTCTTGCTGTCGGTGACGATGCCACGGAAGTTCCAGAAGCCGGGCTCGCAGCGGTCACACTTGAGGCCCCCCACGCCGGGCTTGCAGGAGCACTGCCCTGTGGTGGGGTCACAGGCTCCTCCATAGGAGCCATAGGGGTTGCATTGACAGGTACCTGTGAGCAAACAGAGAACCATGGAATGGTTTGGGTTGGAAAGGACCTTAGGGTCATCTAGATCCAACCCCCTGCCATGGCATCTGCATCGTGGTGGAGGGACCACTGAGATGCTCAGCCAGGGCTGGAGCATGGTGGGCAAAAGGAGGTTTCACCATCGGCTCTCAACACTTTTCTGCTCCATCTACAAGGGGGGAACTAAACCTCCAGGGATGAACCTGCCTGCTTTGCTGTCATCAAGAACTCCTCTCTCATTAACATCAAAGGGGAAGGAAGCTATTAGAAGTTTATTATTAATTCATTAATTAGGAACTTGATGGAGGGAAGCGATCCAAAGATAGACAGAGAGACACTGCCTTAATCCCCAGGGAGCAGTGGAAAGCGGACATGGGGCAGAGATGGAAAGAAAGGGAAAATGCAGAAGCAGCAAGTTGGGTGTATATGCACATCCCCAGCCTTCCAGAGGCAGGGAAATGGCATGTCCAGAACAGGCAGCAAGGGATAAATCTGCCCTAGGGGCTACAAGCTAAGTGATAATTACATCCTGATGTGCGAAGGATGGGTGCAGCGGTTGGGACTTCATACAGATGGTTGGACACAGGCCTTGGGATAGATAAAATAAAGAGGAAAGGAAGCAGGAGAAAGAACAAGGAACTGGTTCTGCACAAGAATGGAACGTGTAGACGCTGCATGTGCAATAATGTGATTATAAGATGCTGTGTTAGCAACAGTGTGATCATAAGGCGAACATGAGATAAGGCTGTGCAAATAGGAATAATGTCACAATCTTGTGATTAATACTCTATATAGAAATAAGGCAACTGAAAATTGCAGTGTAGCACCTTGTGGGGCTGGGGCCATAAAACTTGAGCTGTATCTCAAGAAAGGGTCTTCTCTTCACCTCATGAGAGGAGCCCGTGTCATCTGTCATCACACTGATGTATGCTTGCTGCCAACATAGGTGGGACAGAAACTGGTGGGATAATGAATCCCAGTCAGCTGGGAAGCTGTGGCCATGGATTGGAGGGTGGGGGACAGGAGTTCCATCAGAGACACAGGAATACTGGTAGCATTGGCAGGGTGATGCTGGAAGCAAAATGCTTGTGTCTGCCCTTACGTCACCCTGGCCATCTCCTCATGGCTCTGCTCCTTGCTCTTCCAGCATCCATCCAGCCCATTCCATGCACCTCCTGCCAGGACATCCCTGCACCCTCTCTGAATACTGCTTGTTCAATGATACAGACATTAGAGAGCACTACAGCCTCATCAGGAGGGCATTAGCCAGGCCCAAGCATGGTGTGAACCATGTCTCCACAGGGTAATGGGTTTCCCTAATGGGCGGTCACAGCCTCAGCTGGTAAGAGCTTGCTAATGCCTTTCAGAGTGCTGCTCCTGCTTAAGTGCTGGCTCTGATCATCGTTTAATAAATATTAATGAAGCATTTGCCAGCTCAGCTTCCTGCACATTGCAGTCACCAACCATGGGTGGCCTGCGGAAGGTGAACATAAAAGCTCTCTTCCACCTCAGCCTGCACTGCAAGGGTGTGAGCAAAACTTGTGTCACTCAGACCGGTGAAAAACCTTCAGCCGCTAGCAATGGGTTGAAGGCACATTCTGGTCCTAAGGCAGAAGCATCCAGCATGGATGCAGCTGAATCATAGGATGACTTGGGTCAGAAGGGACCTTAAAGCTCATCCAGTTCCAACCCATTGCCATGAACAGGGACACCTTCCACTGGAGCAGGTTGCTCCAAACCCCTGTGTCCAACACTGCCAGGGATGCCACCATCCTGTCCTCCTGCATTGGAGAAGGATTTAGACCTGGAAGTTGACTTGGGGCTGTTGCAATGGCAAGAGCATCACTAGTAGATACAGAAGGTGAAGCATGTGTGCATGCATATCTCCATGTGTGCACGCTGGGAGCCTGGAGATGGGGGTAAATGGAGCCTGAGAGTCACCAGTTAGCAGAAGAATAGGATGTTTCCCACAGGATGGGACCCCAATTCCCTGCTCCACCCACTCTCTCCTGCCTTCCAGCCATCCCTGAAGGTCCTTCATGCCCACCAAGACAGGAACACAATATTCACTCACTTGGGCATCCAGCAGCACCCACTCCAAGCGCCAAGGTCATGTTGTCTGGGCAGCATCCGTAGATGGTCTGGCTGCAGTGCACAACCAGGAGAGGTGGTGGGGTTGTGGCAATGGCTGCAGAGGAAGGCAGAGAGGCAGAGGTTATCCTTGGCACAGGGCAGTATTCCCAAGGAACCATCCCGCAAAACCACATGGTCCTTGCAGAGATGCTGGGAGCAAGCGATGAGATGAGGTCCTACCCTTGGTAAGGGAAAGCAAAGGGCATGAAACAGGAATGATGCAGCAGGGATCAGCTAAACCAACACAGACATTGCTGTATCCTGAGTGAGCACTTCCTTGCTTAGCCCCGGGGACAGGGGACGTGTCCCTGTAGGACACCAGGCTGGCTGCCTTTGGGCACTCACCACGACAGGCTCCTTGGCTAGTGACATAGAGATCCTGGCGCTTCTCGCACCGTGTCTTCTTCAGCTCACACTCGTTGGTGTAGGTCACACCATCAGAGCCACAAACCTGCCAGGACATGGATGGAAGCCGCTCAGGGCAGCCCCTGGCACAGGAAGGCAGGTTCCTTATCCATGGGATGCTCTCTCCTGCGCAGGAAGCATGCGGGAAAGGCACCAGGGAGCAGAGAGGAGGGGAGCAGCGTGCAGCCCGGAGGTGCTGAGCGTGCTTACCGGGTTGCGTGGCACTGCCAGGCAGGTGAAGTCACACACACAGCGGTCATCCTCTGCATCCTCGTCCCACCAGCCCCCATACTGCCGGCACCGGTCCTGGTCACACTCAGACCCATCGCCGGAGCCCGAGCCCCCCGAGCCGCACTCTGCAGTGAAGGAGGATGATGGTGAGAAAGGGGAGAGCAGAGGGGATGGGGCCAAAGCCCTCACATGAGGCTGTGCCCTTGCAGTCCACAGACCCATCCAAGTCACAGCAGATGGAACCTCTGCAGCCTCAGGATCCTGGGCCCATAGATATTAGGATGCTTATGCTGGACCTCAGATCTGGGGACCTCAATCTGTGTTATCCCTTGGAGAACACAGATTCTCCCATCGCTGTCACAACAGTGCTAACCCTACATAATGAAAACTGCAAAGTGATTCCTTAGCACTTGGCCTGAGATCTTCCTCTCCACAGCATCACTGCAGCACCTAAAGCAAGGATCCTGCAGCTACCAGCACCATGTAGGCTACCTGGAGATCAGCTATCTAATAGCCACACACAGGAGGAAGGGATGTCACTTGACTTAGTGACAGCTTAACTCCATGCTTTGATCTGATTCCTTCCCATTCTGCCCTCCCAAACACATAGTGCAGCAGGGAGATTGCTGATGATAATATAGACATGGAAAGCAGATGGGGATGGGGTTGGGGTTAACGTGAAGTTCAGTTATGCAGATATTCATAACAATATATAAACCTTGTCCCTAGCCTGGCTGCCTCTCCATTAGATGCTCAGAGCTCCAGCATCAAGAGAGAGATGTTCCTGATTTCAAAGGCTTCTTAAAGGGGAAGAGGAGGGGAGAAAGGAAAACCTGCCCCTTTTTATTGAGTGATCAAAGGCTGGGATCTGGCATTACACAGGGAATTATTTAAGATCTTTTCCCAGAGGGACATCAGCCTGAAGTCCCCCAAGGAGGGCTGTGATCAAACACCATGTTATGTCTTCTCCTCTGCATAAGCTCTGCCATGGCACTGAAGTCCTTCCCAGCTAAGGCTACATGTGCAATGAGCCAGAGAATACCAGATCAACAGGTCAGCACCCTGTAACTTGGATTCAGCCGTTGTTAACCCAGAGCTATTCCCCTACAGTGGAAAACAGCAGGTTCTTAGCTCTTAGCCTGACCAAGCATGATACAGCCAACCCTAGGACCTTGGTGCTCAGTGCTGAAGCAATCCTGGCCATGGGAGCAGCTCTGGGGCAGAGGGAAGCAAAGCAGCAGCCAAGCTCCCTATAGCAGGAACACCTCTGTTCCCTGTGGCCTGCTGAAGTGTGAAATCCAAGCAGTGATCAGCTCCTTGCCCCGCTCATTAGGAGGTGTCACCTCTCATCACTGCTGGATACAGGGACACAAAGGGGAAAGGGATGCAGCGCGCAGGGTGATGGGAGGGAAGGAGAGCATCACTGGGACCCAATGGGGATGTCAGGGTGTAACAGGGCAGCACGCTGTGTCCATCCTCCCCCTTTCCCTCCCCATTCCCACCTACCATCCTCACACGGCCCCATCCGGGCAACCTCGATGCTCTTCTTGTGCTGGCAGGAGGCCACGCGCAGCTCGCACTGGTTGGGGTAGGTGATGCCGTCGGTGCCGCACACAGGGGCCAGGGGCTGCCTCTCGCAGCGGGGGCACACGCACTGCCCACCGACACAGCGGCTGCCGAAGGAGCACAGCGAGCTGCCACAGGACTCTGGGACACAGGGAGGAACCACGGTCATGCACCGAGGGGGGGTTTGTGGTCAAGTGCCCCATGGCGGAGAGATGGGGACCGTGAACAACGCGCCCTCAAAAGCGAGGTCTCCTTCGCCAGAGCGGGTTTGTAAGTGTTATGGAATCATGGAATCAGTGGGATCGGAAAAGAGCTTTAAGATGATAGGATGAGAAAGTTGGGGCTGTTCAACGTGGAGAAGAGAAGGCTGCGTGGAGACCTCATAGCAGCCTTCCAGTATCTGAAGGGGGCCTATAGGGATGCTCGGGATGGACTCTTCATTAGGGACTGCAGTGACAGGACAAGGGGTAATGGGTTCAAACTGAAACAGGGGAAGTTTAGATTGGATATAAGGAGGAAATTCTTTCCTGTGAGGGTGGTGAGGCACTGGAATGGGTGCCCAGGGAGGTTGTGAATGCTCCATCCCTGGCAGTGTTCAAGTCTAGGCCTTGGGTGCCATGGTTTAGTGTGAGGTGTCCGTGCCCATGGCAGTGGGTTGGAACTGGATGAGTTTAAGGTCCTTTCCAACCCGAACTATTCTATGATTCTATGATCAAGTCCAACCATTCCCAGCACTGCCAAGGCCACCATTAACCCATGGCACTAAAGGGCTTTGTCTATACAGTGTGTGAATGCTTCCATGGACGGTGGCTCCAGCCCTGCCCTGGGCAGCCTGTTCCAATGCCTGAGCACCCTCTGGGGAAGGAATTGCTCCTCAGCTCCATCTAAACCTCCCCTGAGGCTGTTCCCTCTCCTATCCCTTGTCACTCTGGAAAAGGGACCAGCCCCTTCCTCTCTCCATCCTCCTTGTGTCAGTCCTGAGCATTCCTGATTCCCATCAATACTCATGGGTGTTGTGTCCAACACCATCTCTAGGGCACCAGTAATAAACCCCATTTACTCTCATGGTGTATCCTGGTTTCAGCCTCTTCCTGCTCACAGCACCAAGAGTGATCTATCACACTCAGTTGTTCTCTCCCAAATGTAGAGAGCATCTCCATGCACAGTTCATCCGTGGAACACCAGCCCCAGCTGGAAAGGTTCGATGGGGCTCAGGGCACTGCTTTAACCAAAGGAGCATTTACCCTAATGAAGAACCCAGGCAGGGCTTTTAATTCATTAAGAAATTAGCACAGACAGTTCCCTGTGCTGGGGAGTGGGGAGGAAGCACAAGAACAAAGAGGAATTAACCCCAGGGGATGGAGGGAAGGGAGAGCTACTGAGATGAGCTGTGTGATCAAACAGACTGCAATGCTTTCAGTCCTGATGGTAGCTATTAACATGGCTTTAACCTGATTTGTTTGGCTCAATGGCTATTAACCCAGTTTCTTTGCTTGGCTCAGAGGGCAGATACCATCTATGATGGGAAAAGCATAACCAATGGGGTTAAAAAGGAGAAACTGCTGGAAAAACTCAAAATGCCCAATTCTTGTGAAGCCAAAAGGGAAAATCCCACCAGACAAGGTGAAAAGCCTCAGGGAGGGTGGCCAAGTGGCCAGCTCAGGGCCAGGCTCTTGGGCATTCCTGTATCCCTGCTTCAGCTGGGTCTAAACCATGACTCCCTGTTACCCTGGAGTTGATCCTGCTGGGAAGTCCTCAAAACAATCATTAAAGGCATCAGGAGGAGCACTAGGGAGACCCTCTGCACATCCCAAACCTGGGGTTAAGGTTAGGGTTAGGCAAACCCATGGGCTACAGGATGGGCACATCCAAGCACCTCAGCAGGACCCAGGGGGCCACTGGGGTAGAGCATCCTCCCTAACATGCCATGGGAATGAAGAGGGAATAAGGGGAGCCTTGGATGGGCACATCCAAGTGTTTCAGCAGGACCTCGGTGGCCAATGGAGCAGAGCATCCTCTCTAATATGCCATGGAATGAGAGGAGGGAATAAGGGAAGGCTTGGATGAGCACACCCAAGCATCTCAGCAGGGCCCAGGGGGCCAATGGGGTAGAGCATCCTTTCTGACATGCCATGGGAATGAGAGGAGGGAAGAAGGGGAGCCTTGGATGGGCACATCCAAGCATCTCAGCAGGGCTGGGTGGCCAACGGGGCAGAGCATCCTCTGTGCCACGCCATTGGAACGAGATGAGGGAAGAAGGGGAGCCTTGGATGGGCTCATCCAAGCATCTCAGCAGGGCCTGGGTGGCCACTGGAGCAGAGCATCCTCTCTAACATGCCATGGGAATGAGATGAGGGAAGAAGGGGAGCCTTGGATGGGCACATCCAAGCATCTCAGCAGGACCCAGGGGGCCAATGGGGCAAAGCATCCTCTCTAACATGCCATGGGAATGAGATGAGGGAAGAAGGGGAGCCTTGGATGGGCTCATCCAATCATCTCAGCAGGGCCTGGGTGGCCAACGGGGCAGAGCATCCTCTGTGCCACGCCATTGGAACGAGATGAGGGAAGAAGGGGAGCCTTGGATGGGCTCATCCAAGCATCTCAGCAAGGCCTGGGTGGCCAATGGAGCAGAGCATCCTCTGTGCCACGCCATTGGAACGAGAGGAGGGAAGGAGGGGACGGTGGCGGACTCACTGCAGTCTCCCTGTGCTGCCACCCGGATGTTGGTCTGCTGGGTGCAGGCGCGCACGTGGAGCTCGCACTCGCTGCCGTAGGTGTTGCCGTCGGTGCCGCAGACGGGCTGCGAGGAGGGCACGCACTCGGTGGGGCACACGCAGCGCCCCGTCTCCGCCTCGCAGATGGCTCCGAACTGGCACTTGCCGCAGCGCTCTGTGCACGCAAGGGACAACAGCAGGAGGTTAGGGCAGCAGGCACGGCACCGGTGGGTGATGGGGAGGAGCTGTCGGTGGGGGCACGTAGTGGTGGGGCAAGGGGAACGGCTTTAAGCTGACAAAGGGGAGGGTTAGATGTGATATGAGGAAGAAATACTTCACTATGAGGGTGCTGAGGCGCTGGCACAGGGTGCCCAGAGAAGCTGTGGCTGCCCCATCCCTGGCAGTGCTCAAGGCCAGGTTGGACACAGGGGCTTGGAGCAAGCTGCTCCAGTGGAAGGGGTCCCTGCCCATGGAACTGGATGGGCTTTAAGGTCCCTTCAACCCAACCCATTCCATTATGCTATGAAATAAAGCCCCACTGCAACCTCCTCCTCCTCATGCTGCAGGTGCCGGCAGCCTTGTTGGAAGCAAGGCAAGGGAAGGAGCAGAGGCGAGGGCTGCAGGAAGAGGAAGAGTCAGGCTCCGAGGCAATAACTACTCATAAAAGCCATCAGGACCAGGACTAACAGTGATGAAGCATCACCAGCGCTGATGCAGCTAAACAGGAGGTGGGAGAGAGCACGAGAGGGGAATTATGAGGAGTGATAAATCAGCCCCAGCCCTGGGAGGAGGGAGCAGCATCCCTGCAGCCTGTGTCCAAGGGGATAGAGGCAGCGGGATTCCCACATCAGGGTGGGATGCGGTCAGTTGGGAAGGTGGATACTGTCTTCCATTGGTTCATGAGGGCGCAGCAGTGCTGGACACATGGATAACACAGCAGCATTCACATCACTGATGCATCCCATAGAGGGACCCTCACATGCCTGCTGCAAACACACACATCACATGCAGTCTGGGTCAGGGAAGACGTTTATCTTCCTAATAACTCAATGAGCCATCACTCGTTGCAGGAGGGACCAGGCTGCAGCCGGCGCATCCCCTGACTCCTGGGTATTTACCGATGCACGGCTTCATTTTCCCCTTCAAACACCCTCTTCCCTCCCTGCCATTCAGCGCACAAGGAATTTGGCTCCAAGATGGGGTTTCTTATTTCTCTTTCACACAGCAGCTGCTGCCTTTGCACGGGGGAGGGAAGATGCTACAGCCCCCTGCTTGGGCTGTGCAGACTGTTGGACAGGAGGTTTCTATCTACAGCACAGAGCCTGCAGCCAGGCAGGTTGGGAATGGGGCTGCTTAAAGCAGCCTTCTAGTGCCTGAACGGGATGCGGGAAACCTGGGCTTTGTAAAAGGGATGTAGGGACAGGACAAGGGGAATGGCTTGAACCTGACAAAGGGGAGGGTTAGATGTGATATTAGGGAGAAATCCTTTACTATGAGGGTGCTGAGGCGCTGGCACAGGGTGCCCAGACAAGTGGTAAATGCCCCATCCCTGGCAGTGCTCAAGGCCAGGTTGGACACAGGGGCTTGGAGCACCCTGCTCTTAGTGGAAGGGGTCCCTGTTCACGGCAATGGGTCCCAATGGGCTCAGCTCTTACCGCAGGGCCCCTTGTGCTTCACTTTGATCTCCCTCTTGAGCACACAGGCCATGGAGTCGAGCTCGCAGGGGTTGCCGTAGGTGCGGTTGTCGGTGCCGCACACCGGGTCATAGCGGCCCTGGCACACTTGCTGGCACTCGCACACAGCCTCCTGGTTCTTCACCACGCACGTGGCCCCAAAGGTGCACTCCACGCTCAGGCACGGGCTCGGCGTGCCCAGGTCTGCATAGGGGCACAGAGAGAAAGGCACTGGTTTGAGCCCATGGCTTCCCATATCATCGCGGCAGCAAGGCATGCCAGCATCCCCAGCATCGCGCCTGCCTCCCCCAAGCCATGGCAAATGCACATTGGTCCTGGCCGTGGCACCCTGCACCCTCCATGCCACCCTCAGCATCGTCCCCATGCGTGGCAGAGGTTAGGGATGGGAAGCAGGCACAAGGTCTTCTCCCTGCACGCTGTGATGGGGATTCCTGACTCGTTTGCTCCATCCCTGCTACACTCTGCCTTAAAGGGCTGGCTAAAAGTGGGATCATCCCCTTGGGCTTCTGCACCAAACACCATTGTCTGGGTGTCCCCAGCAGCTCACATCATGTGTTGAGGGAGGGCAACACCGACTGATGCTCCTCATTGCTGGCGCTTTGGAAGCAGCAGTGGTGCCACAGCCCTGTGAAGTCAGATCTGAATGATCAGCCCTATAGCAGAGAGCAGGGCAGGAGGCAGCAGAAAGCCCTCCTCAGTGTGGCTCTTGGTGCTCCAGGTCCCTCAGTACATCATCACGTTGTACCTGGCACCAGGAGCCACACAGCTCACAGAGGGATCATCCCCTTCACTGAGGTCCACATCCATTTAATACCCTCTGTGGCAAGTCCCAGGAAGACCTGGCTGGAGAGGACATTGGAGTTCACCACAAGGCCTGGTTCTCCTCTCCCCATGTCAGCTCCCATCCTCTCCTCTTGGAAGCTGATGCTGGGAAGGCCATGGAGCTGCTGGGCAGCAGGAGGAAGAGACCTGGTGTCCTTGCTTGAGCCCAGCCCTTGGGCATCGAGCTGCCTAGGGATGGGTGATGCCCCATAGCATGTATTGCAGGCTGAGAGGCAGCAACAGTCCCCTCTGCTCACACACTGGAGCTGCTTTATCAGAGTCAGCCAAGCTCATGGCACCTTCCCTTCAGGATGCCCATCACCACTGATGGTGATAGCAAAGAGAAAAGGCTCCCTATGGACCTCTACCGATGGTTCCCCCCCGTTCCTGATGTCCCATCAGGAATGCTCTCTACCATCCAGAAGCACTGACCGTGCTGCTGGGGGGAAGCCAGCACTGCCAACAGCCCTTTCTTGTGCCTCAAGACAAGAGCCCTGAGGACGTGGGGCAAGGAAAGGACACAGATTTAATCCGTGTGGAACAGCGACAAGGACACAGGACAGAACACACGTGGGGAACAGACAATGCAGCCAAGAGGAGATGGATGTAAGAGGCAGACACAGCCCCACCAACAGCAAAGAGCGAGGTGGGCACAGAGTGTGATGGGCAAGGCAAAGCCCTCCAGAGCCTGATGGCACAGGGCATCAGGTCTGTTTTCCTCCCATGCTAGGACCAAGAGCGAGGCTTGAGCCATCAGGAGCCTGGCTGCATGCTCTCCCCCATGGGCACAGCCAATGGGATCTGGATTTGGCTCTTTGGGAAGGACCTATCAAGGCAAAACTTGGAGCCAAAGGTGTGCATAGGAACAGGGAAGAGGGGGACAGCTCAAGGCAGTACTTCATCCCAGCCCTTTCAACTGCATCCCAGCTTCCCTGCAGCGGAATTGCCTGTGAGCAGTCCCAAGGACCAGCTCCCTGCTGTGCTGAGCCCTGTGATGCTGCTCCCATCTCCTGCTTGTGTTTCCCCTTTCTAAGGCAACATCTATACCATAACGATGCCCCTCAGACACAGAGACACATGGAGCAAGCTCCTCTGCTGGACACAGGCAGTAAGGATGCAATGAGCTAAGCATGAAGCAAACTCATTTGAAGTCCACATTCACTCCATTGGGGAGCAAGGGTGAGAGTGCAGAGAGGTGCCAGGCCTGATGGAGAGCACTGCCCTCACATCCCTTGCTCTTATGGAGCAAGCAAACCTGCAGAGATGGGGCACATGAAGCTGCTCCACAGCCTGAATCTCAGCCTGTGAATTATCACACGCAGCCTTGGGTACCAGCAGATGCCAATGGAGGTTCTGGCACCAGGTTTGATGTGAGTGGGTATAATGAGGACCTACTGAGCAAGGACCTCAAGCTGTGCTATAATCAAGACCTGCTTTGATTCCTGGCCCTTCTGTAGGCAGGGAAACTGAGGCACGGAGCAAGCAAAATGCTCATCCTGTACCCTAATGGGTTCAAAGGCACGATCCCCACCTGCTACCGGGCTTTGCCAAGGCCTAAGCAAGCTCTGGGGACACTGAGCTCTCCTACAAGCCCTGCTTGATGGTGGCTATGGAGAAGAGGCTCTGAAGCTGCTTTGTAACCCATCACACCCCATCAGCCTGTGCCCGTGACACCCAGCGGGCTCCACCACCAGCTCCACAGGGAGCATCCCTAGGGAAGAACCACATCTGAAGCCCAGTGCCTCAGTGCTTCCAAAAGGCACGTGGGGTGCTCTGCTGGGTACTGGGGACTCTGCAATCCCTGTGGATCCCCTTCCCGCTGGACTGGCACAGACAAGCGTGACACACACGATGGAGAGCAGAGGGACAAGCAGCACGGACCCAGGCAGGCAGAAGTCTCTGGGAAGGAGGAGGTGGGGAAGAAAGGAGGGTTAGTTGGGGGCACAAGGAGAGGTAAGATGAACCAGGAGCAGTCCGGACTGATGCACCAGCCAAAGAGGGGCTTGCTAAGGAGCAGGGAGCTCACAGCACCCACCTCTGCTCCCACTCTCATGTGCCTCGGAGGGTCAAGCCACAGCAAGCACCGGACAAGACCCCACTGCACTGGGAGGCATTTCCATTCCAGCAGGAAGGGTTTGGGATGAGGGATGGGATGTCTCCATCCCTGGGGCTCTCAAGCCAAACTAGAGAGGTGGGGAGCAGGGAGAAGAGGCCGGGACTGTCCCTGGCTATGGAGAAGGGGAGAGAGCCGACCTCCTAGCAGAGATGTCCGGGTAGGGAGCAGGAGGGTGCTGCGAGGACACAATTCCTTCCTCCAAACAGGCAACACTGTAAAACACAAGACACAGACGAGAAAGGAAAGAGAGAGAAAGCAGAGGGAGAAAGACAGGGAAGGAAGAGCAGAGAGAGGCAGGGAGGAGAGGACAGATGCAACTACAGACACCTTCCCTCCGCCTCCTGTCTGCATCGGTCTCATCCCATCCCTTCGTTCTCAGCTGCCCCATCACAGTGTCGAAGGAGAGAAGGATTAAAACAAGGCCTGGACTGTTTTGCTTGGCTTTGCCTCCTTTGCCTTGCTGCAGGAAAAGAGCAGCAGAGCTTAGAGTCCCTTAGACGTGTGTATGTGAGAGATTATAGTGCTGTGACCAGACTAATGGCCCACCCTTCCTTTTCCTTTCCTTTCCTTTTCCTTTTCCTTTTCCTTTTCCTTTTCCTTTTCCTTTTCCTTTTCCTTTTCCTTTTCCTTTTCTTCCTTTTCCCTTTCCTTTCCTTTCCTTTCCTTTCCTTTCCTTTCCTTTCCTTTCCTTTCCTTTCCTTTCCTTTCCTTTCCTTTCCTTTCCTTTCCTTTCCTTTCCTTTCCTTTCCCTTTCCCTTCCCCTTCCCCTTTCCCTTTCCCTTTTCCCTTTCCCTTTCCCTTTCCCTTTCCCTTTCCCTTTCCTTTCCTTTCCCTATTATTTTTCCTTTTCCCTTTCCTTTCTTTCAGATTTTCCTTGTCTTTTACCTTTTCCCTTCCCTTTCTTTTTCCCTTTCCTTCCCCAGCTCCATGCATCTCCTGCATCCTCACGGCACATGGATGAACTCCCCATGCTCCCCACTATGAGCACTGGATGCAAACAGAACCTGTGGCTCCCTCATCCCCTGCTCTCACCCACTGCTGAGTGTTCCATGAGGACTGCACCCTGCATCCAGCAGAAGCATCCAACCAGGAGAGAAGCAGGGACCACCAACAGCAATCTGTGTTCTCACACCAGCTGGGAAGCAGCATCACCACCCCAATCTCCATTTCTAAACCCATTTCCCGTCTCACATAGGCACATCATCACATTGAGAACTGGTGCCACGGAGGAGGATGTGCTCTCTTTCCAACAGGCTCAGATAGAACACGCTTTCCTAAGCTGATGGGGAGACCAAAGGCTTGCCCACACCTCATGGTGGTTTGCTACAGGGCTGCCTGGAGCTGTCATCTGGATGTGAAAGCCTCAGCTTTGATCTGCTTCCCTGGATTACAGGCTCTGTTTGCTCCCATCCCATAAGGATGTGTGCATCTGCTGCCCTCGCCTGCAGGAAGAGAGGCTAAAATGAAAGAGAGGAACAGCAGATGTATAGGGACCAGATACCACTGCCCACCGGCCTCACTGCACTGAATGGGCTGGGAATGATGTGTGTGTGCCATGAGCCCTCTGCTTACCCTAGGAATTTGGGAAGCCTCAGCAAGGTCCTGATGCTACGGGAGATACGGGCACCAGCTGCAAACATCCTCTGGCCCCAGTGCATCTCAGGAGCTATAGGCACCTTGCTTCATCCCCTGCACCAAGGCAGCCTGCCTTGCCATGAGCACCCCAGTGGCCATTCACACCTCCCCAGTGGCACAACAGGGCAGGAAAATGGGTTCCAGGCTTTGGCAAGGCTCCCGGTTGCCATCCAGCACCAAGCTCCCTGCAGCAGAGAGGACTGGAAGGTGCCTGTGTTGATCTCCCTATAGGGAGAACGTGGGGAAGCGACTCCTCATCATTCACCCATCAGAAACCCAGTGAAAGGGGTGATTTAAACTCACAGCTTGTGATTGTATTAAGCATGGTTTTGGGAGCCTGACAAAAGGGGTTTGAAGCAGCTGGGGCTGGGCAGCGTTAAAAACCCACTGCAGGAGCACAAAGCCAACAAAACAGATCCACAACATGGGGCCTAAATCCTGAGTGTTTCAGAAGGTTTGATACAGCTGATACCTTGTGAGACAGCAGCTTAAAGTAATAGGACACAGTTCCAGATGTAGCAAAACCCAATTTGAGCTGAAATGAAACAGTCCAACTCATACAAATCAACCCAGCGGCTGTGTTCAACCTCCTTCATTCTCTGTGCAATGATGTTAAAATTGGACCTTCCCAACACCCTAAGGACACCAAGTCCCATCCTATCACATCCTCCTGATAAAGCATCCACTGGAAAAGGTCAAAAGCTGCTCCCAGAGACGAGGCAAAGACACGGTGAGACATCCAAAGAGCCTTTAGAGTTCCTTATGGAGATACCTGGAGCTGAGAGAAGCAGGCAGGCATGGAGGGGGAAGCATGGAAGGAGTTTGGGACTGGCACTACCCTGGGAGGAGGAATGAATGGCATGGGCTGCACAGTGGTGAATGCATGGTGGTGAATGAGAGCATCCAGCTGGACATCACAGACACTTGGTGCTGTTTAAACACAAAAGACTCTTCCCATTGAGCACATCAGAGACAAGACCAAGGAGGAACACGCACACGCAGACTGTGAGAGGAAAACCAACAGGGAGCAATGGATATCCAGGGCCTGTTGGCCGCAACACTGAAGAAAACCTGCGCCTTGCTTAGGATGAGCACCCACTCACAACTTACCTGCAGCTTCCCAGCATCACCTGCATGGAAGGGACTGACACAGGCTGGGCTTAGAGTGGCTGCTGGGGCTGGGAAGTGATGTGGGGGTACCAGTGCTCCTGTGGGTGACCAGCCTGGTGGCACCAGTGCTTACCACAGGGTCCACTGTGCTTTACTGGGATGGCAGCCTTCTGGTGGCACTCTGCCTTGCGGCGCTCGCAGTCATTGCTATAGGTGCGGCTGTCGCGGGCACACACGGGCCGGTAGGTACCATCGCAGGTGATGCGGTCGCAGGAGCAGCGCGCGGTGCCGCGGCGGTTCAAGCACACGGCGTTGAACTTGCACTCATCCTTGCATTTGTCTGTGGGGAGAAGGGGCAGCACCGCTCAATCCCACCCCGGGGGACAGGCAGCGGGAACCCCAACGCTCCCATCACCCCCAAGGATGCAGGGATGTACTTACCCTGATGCTGGCACTGCCCTGAACGCACCTTCTGGATCTCCAGCCCCCGGATGGCCCCCGAGCGCCCCATCACGCACTCGTTGTCGTAGGTCACCCCGTCGTCACCGCACACAAGCTCCTTCTTTGGGGGACAGGTCTCGGGGCGGGAGAGCAGCTCGACCCGCCGGGTACGGGGGTTCACCCGGCACACACGGTTCATGTCGTTGAGGATGCCTTTACACGGGTCTGTGCACAGAGGCAGGGCACTCGGTCAGGTACCATCACATCCTCACCACAGCGGTGCTTGCTCCTCCGCTCTCCTTCCCTTTGGCTGGCAGCAAGAGGCTCCAATCCCTCCCCAGTGGTACTCAGTCCTCCTCCTCCCCACATGAGGACTCTTGCACACACTCCCCCATTCCAAAGCGATGGGATGAGCTCTGCCTCTTTTCCCATCCTCAGCTGCATTCACCCCTCTCTAAGGACACCCTGATCCAGGCAAACCTCCCAGGTACAAAGTGTGTTACAAGATGCTTGGTATTCCCATCCCACTCTCCCTCCCCATCTTTCCAAAGTGCTGGAAAAGCATGGAAGGCAGCCAGGGCCACACACCGCCTTGCCCCACTGCTCTAAGCTGAGCTCACATTAGCATACTAAAGACAAGGGTAAACGGGGTGCTGACTGCTCACTAATCCCTACTCCAGGTTTTCCCCTTCCTTGCCAAGCAGGGAACCTGCAGAGTGCTGATTCACTGTCTGCAATTGCAGAAACACGATTGAACCTCTCCCCTCCTTTAATGCTACTTGTCTGAAATGCCTGCATCCACCAGTCCCAGGATGACAAGGGGGCGGAAACAGCACAATAACCCATTCCCCCAGCCTCTCACAAGCTGGAAAGGCACTTCCCATCTCCCCTACATCCCTTGGAGAAGGACAGGGTCACAGCTGAAGTCATTGCTTTAACCACTTTAGCGTATGCAGTGATGGAAACGAAGCAGACGGAGGAGCTCCCACAGGACCTGCCCAATCCATCTCTTATTCCCCCTCTGGCAAGAGCTGCCCCACCAGCAGACAGCCGGGGATGTGTTACCCCCTTGGAGGCTTCTGCAACCCCAATAAGGCAAGAACATCTTGTGTGGACTCAAGGGGCTGTGGGTAAATGAGGCTGCTGTAGTGGGGCAGGGATGCGGAACAGATGAGGAGGTGGGGACCGACCGCATTAGAGGGGCTGGGGATGAGGTGGATGCAGGGATTTATCTCAGGGACTGTATGATGGGGACTGTATGTGTGACTGTATGTGTGACTGTATGTATGACTGTATGTGTGACTGTATGTGTGACTGTATGTGTGACCGTTCATCCCTGCTCCCTCCTCTGCCTTGCAGTGCATCCTTGAGCCTTACACTGACACCAACAGAGTGCAAAGACCTTCGGCTATGTTCAGATTCTATAACCCCTCTGCCTGAGCGCCTGCTGATGCCCAGCTAAAACCAGGAGGACCTCAAAGGAGCAGCGAGGCTCAAAAGCCTGTTCTCTGCCCTAGGAACCTGGTGTCACAGCACCTCTTCTGCACCTCCCATCTCACCCTACCAGGGACCAAGCAGGGAAAACACCATTGAAGCTCCTCAGGGGTTGCAGCCTTCCCAAACCCACTCCCACACTCCTTCCCCTGGGCACAAACACTGCGTCCTGCCTGATCTCATGCTTTCCCTAATGAGCCTAGTGGCTTTTAATTACCAGGATCCAGAGCCGTGAAGGAAGCCATCCTCACAGTGGTTGTGCTCTAGGATCTGAGCCTGTTGGGCTCCTTTAATTAGAGGGAGCTGCTTGCCCATGAACCCTGGGATGTCACCTACAAAAGGGCTTCTTGCCAAAGCCAGCAGCCGGGGGATTCCAGCCCAGGGGAAGAGCAGAAGGAAAAGGAGGGAGCACAGATGTTCCCACTGCTTTGTAGGTCAGTGGGTCCCAAGGAGAAACAACCAGAGCCAAAGGCTGCAGGGGAAGTCCACAAACCACACCCACAAAACCCCCCAGCTTGGTGATGAGCTGATGAAGACATACAGAGACAGGGGCTGCGTGAAGACCTCAGAGCAGCTTCCAGTGTCTGAAGGGGGCTACAGGGATGCTGGAGAGGGACTCTTCATCAGGGGCTGTTGCGATAGGACAAGGGGTGATGGGTTTAAGCTTGAACAGGGGAAGTTCAGGTTAGATGTAAGGAAGCTCTTCACTGTGAGGGTGCTGAGGAGTGGAACGTATTGCCCAAGGAAGTGGTAAACGCTCCATCCCGGGCAGGTTGGACACAGGGGCTTGGAGCACCCTGCTCTAGTAGAAGGTGTCCCTGCCCATGGCAGGGGGTTGGAAGCGGATGAGCTTTAAGCTCCCATCCAACCCAACCCATTCCATGCCTTTGCCATTCCCTACTACTCCCAATCCGAAGGGAAAGGCTCCGGATGCAAGCAGAGGACTCACCGCAGGCGCCATCGAACCTCTTGAAGACGTTCTCCTGCTTGTCGCAGGCGTGCTTGTTGAGCTGGCACTCGCTGCGGTAGTCGCGGCCGTCGCTGCCGCACACGGGGCTCTCGGGCACGCCGCTGCAGGACGATGGGCACACGCACTTGGCTGACTGGCCGTCGGTGGAGCGCACGCACGTGCTGCCGAAGCTGCAGGTCACCTCTGCGCAGGGGTCCTTGGAGCCTATGGGGGGAAAAGGAGAGCGTGGCACAGGGGCGAGATGCTCCCATGGGATAAATGAGCCGGGCACACGGTGATGGGTACCTACGTGTGGAATGGGTTTAGATTAAACAGGGGGAGTTTAGATTGAATATAAGGAAGAAGTTCTTCCCTGTGAGGGTGGTGAGGCACTGGAATGGGTTGCCCAGAGAGGTTGTGAATGCTCCATCCCTGGCAGTGTTCAAGGCCAGGTTGGATGAAGCCTTGGGTGCCATGGTTTAGTCTGAGGTGTCCCTGCCCATGGCAGGGGGTTGGAACTGGATGAGCTTAAGGTCCTTTCCAACTCAAACCATTCTATGATTCTCTGATCCCAAGTCCCTCTGAGTGCCCAGGATCATACATGATGACAAGGGATGTCCTTCCATCAGCTTCAGCGGATGCTGGACACATGTACCTTAGGACAAGAGGAACCGGCCTCAAGCTGCACCAGGGCAGGTTTAGATGGAGCTAAGGAACAATTCCTGCCCCAAAGGATGCTCAGGCATTGGAACAGGCTGAAGCCACCGTCCATGGAAGCATTCACACACCATGGAGACAAGGCCTCAGCGCCATGGGTCACTGGTGGCCTCGGCAGTGCTGGGAACAGTTGGATTTGATCATCTTAAAGCTCCTTTCCAACCTCATTGCCTCCATGGTTCTACGCGGTCCTGAGCAACCAGGATGTCCCCAGAGGCAGGCAGGACCACGGGGCTGTGGGATCAGCCCCAAACCTGCGGCACACGGGGAAAGGAGCTCACTCCGGGCAGAGCCCTTCCTTTCCAACCCCTTCAGCCTTCCTGCAAGCTCCCTTCCCTGCACGTGCCCTCCACGAGCCTCCTGCTCCATCAGAGGAGCAGAACAGGGCCCTTACAGCACCTCCTGCAAACCACAATCAGAGCCAGAGCTCAAGGAACAATTCCCTCACTTGACAGGGAAGGGCCAAAATGTATTTGCCAGTTCCTTTTTTTTTTGGCCTTTTTCCCCTCTTTTTTTCTGTCACTTCTTTATGATTCTGATTTGGAATAAATCACTCGGCGCTCTCCCCCCTCTGACAAGAGCTCAGCGGGAGCGCTGGGTGCAGATTTACTGCACGGCAGAGCGCCGCAGGAGAGAAAGGTCAAGTTAATTTACTCTGAGATGAGGAGACTGGGGTCTCATTTACACAGCTCCTTGCTCACAGCTGGGGAATGCCAGCCTGCCTTTCATCAGCCCACCCAGCCTCCTTATACACTGGTCTCTCCAGCTTTTAGCTGCGGTAGATGGGACCCAGACTGGGGCGTATTGTGGTCACCGGGTTGCTCTACACCTCTTGAATGGCTTTGGCCATCGTTGTGCCTCTTGTTACACTCTGATGGCCAACAAGGAGTTGTTGGTGATTCCCTCACTATCCCCATCATAGAATGGTTTGGGTTGGAGAGGACCTTAAGATGATCCAGTTCCAACCCCTTGCCACGGGCAGGGATGCCTCACACTAGACCAGATGCATCCGCATCCAGCGGTACATCGCAGTGATGCCATGAGCTCAGGACATCATGGTCACCACCTGAGAGCTCGCACTCACCACACGGTCCCTTGCTGATGACTTTGATCCGCCTCTGTTGGTTGCACTGGGCCTTCTCCAGCTCACACTCGTTGCTGTAGGTGGAATAGTCGGAGCCGCAGACAGGAGCCACCACCATGGGACAAGCGGTCTTCTTGCACACACAGGAGGCTTGAGAGGGGTTGGTGGGGCTCCTCTCGCACACGGCCCCGAACCCGCACAGCATCCCTCGGCACGCTGCGGGCACACACAGAGGGATGGATGAGCCCTCTGAACATGAGGATGCAGCCAGGACTTCAAGGACTGTGCCAGCAAGAGGATGCTCAAGGCACAGCAAGGTCCTTTCCTGGCTTAAGGCAGGGATGTCGGCATCCCAGCACATCCAGGGACCACATGAAGGTTAAGCTTTGTCCTTCAGGGACACCATTTGAGCTGCTCATCCCATGCCTGAGAGCAAGGGTCTGCCCTGCCAGGGCTGATGCACCCTAAGGCTCCATCTCTCACCTGTACCTGGAGCATGGACATTAAACAGAGATAACCTGCTCCATTGTGCTGGTACCACGCAGGGCAGGCAGCATGGACAAGGGCAGTGTGGACAGTGGGGTTGGTAAAGGCTGTGACACAGAGAAAGCTGTCTCTGAAGGGAGGCTGTCCTGGAAGCATCACCCGCTTTGCCTTCAGGCACCACACAACCACATTGACTCCATCACAGCTTCTCTGAGTGACTGAGCCCTGCTGCCCTTTGAGAGTGGCCAGGTAAGGCAGGATGCGCGCTAAGCACCTTCACCCCATGCACGGATAAGAAGGGAAAAGGCTGGGGTACATGATCCAAAATGAGCTACCAAACCCATGGTCTTCAGTGCCCCTTCTCACTCCGCGCTCCCTGTTCTACTCATCACCAGTGTGAACTGGAGAAAGGTCTGTCACCAGCTCTGCACCACAGCAAGGAGGCCAGGAACCAGCCTGTGAGCAGGGAGATGCCTCCAAACCTCTCCAGACATGGAGGAGCATCCCTAGGGCTCCAGGAAGCACTTGCTCTCCCTACAACCCCTCTGCTCAAGCCTTTGTGAGTGCTCCCCAGGCACAATGTGCCTTCTGCTAGCCAGCAAGAGGAAGGAAAGTCAAGGAATGGAGAAGAAAACCTCCTCACCTATCCCAGTGTGGGACAGATTTGCTCCCCCCCACACACACACTGTTTTATGCATCACTGTTTATGCAAAGCAGCCAAACCAAGTGGCTGGTGTCTCTGTGAAGGAGATGCACAACATCTTCTTATCACATGCACTAATCAGAGCAGCCGGCATGGACCAGTTCAGCATCTGAATTGCTGATGTGGGGGGAAAGAGCATTCTTCAGCTGGGAGGAGGAAGGGAGAGGACAGGGGTCTCCAGGTACAGTGGGGGCAAGAGATGTCAGAGTGGTTTCTACCTGGTGGTTACCGCCATGGGCACAGCCCTGCATTCCCAACACACACATATATATGCAGGCAGGCACTGCACACCCCCTGTACCACCCTGAATGCACATCACCCTATAGGCACATGACCCCCTGCATCACCCTGCCTGCACATCACCCGCTGCATTACTCTGCATGTGTATCACTCCCTGCATCACCCTCCGCTCACATCACCCCCTGCCTGCACATCATCCTGCATATACATCACCCTGCATCACCCTACATGCACTTCACCTTATATGCACATCACCCTGCATCACCCTGCCTGCGCACCATCCTATAGGCACATCACCCCCTGCATCACCCTGCCTGCACATCACCCGGCATATACATCACCCTGCATCACCCTGCCTGCGCACCATCCTATAGGCACATCACTCCCTGTATCACCCTATGGGCATATCACCCCCTGCATCACCCTTCCTGCACATCATCCTATAGGCACATCACCTCCTGCATCATCCTGCCTGCACATCACCCTATAGCCACATCACTCTGCCTATACATCACCCTGCATCACCCTGCCTGCACATCATCCTATAGGCAAATCACCCTGCAACACCCTGCCTGCACATCACTCTATAGGCACATCACACCCTGCATCACCCTGTATGCACATCATCCTATAGGCACATCACCCTGCATATACATCACCCTATAGCCACATCACCCCGCCTATACATCACCCTGCATCACCCTGCCTGTGCATCACCCTGCCTGCACATCATCCTATAGGCAAATCACCCTGCATCACCCTGCCTGCACATCACTCTATAGGCACATCACCCCCTGCATCACCCTGCCTGCACATCATCCTATAGGCACATCACCCTGCATATACATCACCCTATAGCCACATCACTCCACCTATACGTCACCCTGCATCACCCTGCCTGTGCATCACCCTGCCTGTGCATCACCCTATAGGCATATCACCCCCTGCATCACCCTGCCTGCACATCACCCTATAGCCACATCACCCTGCCTATACATCACCCTCCATCACCCTGCCTGTGCATCACCCTATAGGCACATCACCCCCTGCATCACCCTTCCTGCACATCACCCTGCCTGCCCACCCACTACACCAAGCACAATCCCAACACCCGCAGCACCCCCAGGCAGCAGCAGCAGCTCCTCCACCCCTGCAGACTGACCCACATAAGGAGAGAACAAGAGCTCATAACAGGCAGAATGAACCGCTCGACAGCGGCTCATTTACACTTCAATTCCCGGGCGTTTGCCTTTGACTGCCTGAAGATTTTGAGCTCATATGAACAGCAACAACGCGCCACTAAGAGACTAATATCATCAAATGAAAGAACTCTCTCCCTCTCCTACCCAATATCTAAAGGCAATTCATCATCTTTATGAAGCGCTTGGATAGTCTCTCCTGCTCTTCCCATTGCTGCTCCTTCTCTTTTTCACCTCCCCTAATGCAGATGAACACGTTGAGCTCTATTAGAGGGGAGGTGTGCAAGAGAGGGATGTGCCATGTAGGACAAGCAGGGATTGATCCCGTTGTCCCCCAGCCCCGAGGCACTGTGCAGTGCGTTATCCGCTGCCTGCTGTAGGGGAGGCAGGATGGAGCTGTCAGATCAGACCCAGCCATGGGAAGGGAACTGGGGAGCACAGAGGATGCTGGATGCAGACCCAGCTTGGAGGGGAGCTCCATCAGGTGCCTGCTTGAAGGCAAGGGGGAAGAGGTGCATGTCTGAAGGCACTTGTCTGCAGGATGCACCAGCTCAGGCTCAGAGACAGGGAAACCAAGGTGGGAAGCATATCCAGGGTGTCAGACAAGGGTGTCTCCTTTCTTAAGCTATTGTGCTCCTGTCTTTTGCCTCCTAGAGTACGGGAAAGGAGCCTCACATACCCAAGGCGAGGGCTTCAGCCCACTTCCAGGGTACTCAGCACCAACCAAGCCTTCACATCCCATTCCCTTTCAGAGCCACCACAGACAGGAGTGGGCAGAAGCAGCAGTGAGGCACAAAGCGCTCTTGTCCTGATGCTGTGTATGGGGCAGCCCGAATAAGCCCCAAGCAGCAGATGGAGTGTGCAGAAGGACAAAGACCTCTTACATTTGACTCCCAACAGAGCTGGTGAAGACCCTGCCATCCAAAACACCCCACAAGGAAACCACCTGCCTGCCTCCCCAACTGAACAAGCACCAGGGATGCGCAGAGGGACCAGGGCTCTGCCTGATGCCCCTATGGGAACATGTGTACAGCATCACCAGGACAGCGGCCATACATTTCCCTAGCAGGGTGCCTCCTACATCACCCCACAGACATACATTGGTTGAAACCAAGCCCAGAGCCTGCCTTCCCCACAGCAACAGCGCAGCTACGATGAGCACACTCTAGAAGGCAGTGAGCTCGCAACAGAGCCCCTGCTTGGGATGCTGGAGGTCGCAGCCTGTTGTGCCTGCTCCTGGATGCAGAAGGGCTCTCTCAAGCACAGGGCAATGGTGTGCAGTGGGGTCAGGGAGCAGGCTGGGGCTGGTTGAGCCATCCCAGTGCCACCACGGATCAGGCATTTGGCACACAGTGAGAGCAGCGCTTGTCTGGAGCAGCAAAAAGCTACAGCAAGGAGCTGACCTTTCCCAAACCTCCGGAGCTGCCAAAGAGGAGGGAGAGAAACAGCTCAAGTGAGGTATTTATACAACACTCAGCAAGCTGGATAGAACAAAAGGGAGGGCTTCGGGCTTATTGTAAGCACGCTGAATAGCGGCCAAGCCTCGCCGTGTCTCTTAGCAGCACTGGAGCAGAAACAGGCTAATAAATAACAACAACAGCAATCATAACAAGGGAGAAGTGCTCTTCCTGGAGAGGAGGGGTTGCTATCGACTCTTCACACCTGAGTCAGCATCGGGGGCACACAGCGCTCTCCTCTCCTCCATCAGCCCCCAGGCTCAGCCTGCAAAAGCAGGGAAGGCTTTTAGAAGAGATCAAGGCTTGGGAAAGGCCTGGCTGTGTTCAGAGCCTTGGCTCCAGCTCACATAAGCTGTGCTCTGGGGCTCTGCCTTATGGCCTGCAGTGACTCGTGGTCAGGGCAGAGAGCACACAGGGATGCTAAGGAGGGTTTCTTGCCCTCTGGCTAATTGGGGAAGGTGAGAGGTGCACAAAAGTGCTCTGACCTCTCCTCCCAACATCCATAGGCCGTTCTCCAACAGGCAAAGAGGACACGCTGGGCAGCATCCACCCCACAACAGCTGGAGCCACAGCTGTGTGCCTGCTGCCAGCCAGGGATGAGCAGACGGGGAGGGAACTCGGGGTTATGGTAATGGTGAATGGACCATGGTATCCATTTACCACATAGCCATCTGCAGGGCAGACCCTGGGGTGGTCACAGGGAGAGAGGGGCTGGATACTCCAAAAGGCAGAGGCATCAGGCAGGGACAGCAACCAAGGGATGGAAGCCACCTATAGAGATGCCTTTCCCAGCCTGCACTGACACAGAGTGGGATGCCTGCATTGAAAACCATGAGCAAAGAAAAGGGGAAAGGAAGAGAGGAGCCTTTGGGATGCTATCTATGCTGGCAGCTCAGGTTGGGGTGTGAAGAGTGAGAGCCAGGGTAGCAGAGTGCTCCTCACTGTGGTCCAGGGCAAGAGCTGCTGGCACTGATCCGAGCCAAGCTGCTCCTGCACACAGATAACCTACCCACGGCACCAGTGACACTGGTCCAGCTCTGAGCATCCCACCCCATCCATGACGCTTCCTCGAGCAGCCCCTCACGAGCAGCAGGGATGGAGCAGGATGGGATGCCTCTGCCAAGGTTCAGT